ACATGGCGCATAGAGACCACGAAACCAAGCTATCCCATGCACAAGTGAACTTGCAGCGACAACAAACACACACACGTACATTACCTAGCGTAGAACTATAGCGCACTGGGAGAGGTTATGCATAGTGACGTTATCTGCATTATGGACTTTATAAAAATACAATGCTTTACCAGCATTTCTTTACAAGCGTCATTGCAATTCTACGGCAGATTCACATTGGGAAAGTGGCATTGTTCAACTCGTCCGCGCATCTTATCGCATGATGGTATAATAACCGGCAGCACCCTAAAAACCTTTAGAAAAATCGAGTGCTCAAGCTCTTTAAAACAGTAGTTTTACCGAGGTTGTATATCAAAAAAATACATATAAAACCAAAACAGTTAAATACAGATCAACTGGGCACTTGCTTTCCCACAATTAACACGTGTAACCCATGCCATGCACCACGAACAATAACGCAGGTAATTCACAGCCCTTTGTCAATCCACTGCTGGATTGAGAGCCTACCCATCACCATGTGGAGGTTGGCCATACTTCACCACGCTGGTCAGTGCAGACTGGTGAAGATGGGTGGGCCCCAGGAATCGCTCACCATTGATTTTTTTTCTCTCCCGTGGTTGGGAATCGAACCTAAGCGACCAGTGGTTCGTCACAACTGATGGTCACCGACCTGATCAATTTATAATGATTGAAAAAGATTACAAAAGTCTGTCACAGCTTCAGATATTATCCGATTGTCAGTTAACAGAAGGTAATCTCGTTTGATTACGGTAATATTTTAGCGTATTTTAGTCCAGCTCCTTAGAACATTTTAATCTGGAGCACTCTTATTACATATAGTATCGTATAAATGTTAATTATCAAAATACCCTTGGACACAATAAACAATGTGCTAGACACATTACATTAAATGGCACTACACGTTGGGTTGTTAAAAGCTGATGCAACAATTATTTTGGACAGATGAACCCAACAGCCACAAGAAGAAAACAATTCTAACCGCACCCGCATCTCTCCCGCGAAGGATTTCCTTATGTGCATCATAAGCAGACATGAATCGTCTAAGCTCTCACAAGCAGCAACCACGTTCGTGCAAAAGCCACCTCCAATCCAGTTGCCGATCAACGTTCAAAAGCTGAATCTGCACCCCCCCCCCCCACTCCTGTTGTGGATGACGTCGCCGAATGACATCGCAGAAATGTCACGTGAGCAGGTGTGCAACAGCTGGGAAACACCTCGTGTGTCAAGTGCGCAAAGCAGTCTGGGTACTTACAACATAGGAATGCAATGTGATGTGCTGCTGCTGCGTGATAAGCATCGTGCAATCGAGTTTCTGGCGAGGATAAATGTCAAAACCAAATTAAGCTTATAGTTTGGCGATAGGCAACACGCGCAAAACGTGTGTGTACAACTCTTGACTTAAAGCTTTCGTGACTGCAGGAATTCATATTCTTTGGGTCTTTCTGAAAAGTCACGTAGATAGCTTGAAAGAAAATAACAAAAAAAACTACGTTTCGATCCCAACATCAGCATGACGAACGCTTGATCGAAACGTCGTAGTTTTTTGTTATTTTCTTTGAACCCATCTACAGGACTTTAGCGAAAGACCCAAAGAATAAGAATGTGTGTGTACAACTCGATTCATACGCTGGTCCCTGACACGCTCCGCATCAACACGGTTGGCCGTTCAACTGTGTCGATTCGGAGCCAATGATGAGCACCAGCTTGAACGCGCGTACTGAAACCCTGTTTTACATTGTTACGGGTCGTTAAAGAGCGATGGGAGGCACGTACAATGCTCTAAACGGTGCGTACATCTATATCCGAGAAACATATGCTATTTTGGCATCGAGGCATTACAACAATGAAGGTACAACGTGTAAGAGGGGAACGTCGCGGTCAAGCGTTTCATTCGCTTCACGTTTTACACAAAAGTGCAGGTCAACCTTGAGCCACCACCCTCACAAGCACTGCTGGTTCAAACTTGCATCAACAGCGAAAACAAATTGCCCATTCAACACATTTTTTTTGGATGAAAGTGGCTCACCAGTAACATTTATTTGGGTACTTTATCCCCCAGCAGCTTCACAGGTGATGGAAGAAACTTCTAAACTCAGCTCAACGCAATTTCAGGCTCCACGTCAAAGGCCTGATTCTCATCAAGTCGCTTAAGTGACAGGCGTGATGGGATCAAAGCATTGAGAGAGCAAGACCTTGCAACACATGCCGAGGTGCAGTTACAATCTTTCCGTTCCTATTGAGGCCAACTAACAAGCTGCCGACTGCCCATGGGAGGCGGCTTTTCGTCACGTCATTTGCGCCCCTACAATACGCGCATGGACGACGCAAGGAATTCAGATGCCGTGACATTTAACGGAGACGCGGGCTCCCCAACGATCGTCCTTGAGCCCACACGCTCTTCCACACCCGTCGACGTCACAGAAACAAAAGTTGACAGATTCAGAAACGCGAATGCATCTCAAACGTAGGAATGTACACGCGAAATGCGTTCGAGAGATTTAAAAAAACACGCCTTAAAAAAAAGTCTGAAGAGGCTGGTAGTTAGATCATCATTGCCGATGAGATTGATCTGTTTAACATGAAAGCATAACTTTTTAAGTCTTCCAACGCCAAAGAGGGAAAATTCCCAGCAAACAGGATAATTTTCGAAGTTACAACTTAGCACTATTGCTGTACCGACAGGCTGGGAAATGCTGATTTATTACCTCGCAAACTTGACTTCACCCGTAAATATATTCCAAAGTGTCCAAAGCACCTGATTTCACTCATCTCTCTTCCCTTTTACCTTCACATTGAATACGAATGAAAACAACGGCCGTCTTGCCGCCGCTGTGCAATCACTTATGCGGCAGGCTTTCTCCTTGGCAGCTACCCCCACCCAACCTTTATGCCAGTGGTTCTTCGTCTTTACTGCAGTTGGTTCTCAAGCGTTACAGAAGTTTATGTTAATAAATACATAGGGGTTGATGAAACAAAGTAGTACTAAAAACATCTGGCCATGTCTCGCACCCCCCCCCCCCACCAACTGCATGAGCGAGCAATGATTTGAGATGTTACATTATTCAAGTTAACGTTGCTTCGCCGGATGAGAACTCAAGATACCAGGACATCGTCTCTCCTTCGCAAGTGGTCATCTTTCTGGCTCGCCAAAACGACAAGAGCAAAAACAACAAGGTACAACTACCAAAATAATCAGCAACACCGTATGAAAACGAAAATATCACTTAATCCACCAGTCACTGTGCTTGATTCCCAATGTAGCACATTTTCAAATGGACAGCCAGTTGTAATAACCACCACTTTATTATCCTAATAAATAACTGTGCACGCCACGCAGAGCATACCCCCCCCCGTGTACATAGACAACGATACGAATGGATACACAGTTAAGTGTCCATGGACGAGATGCAACACAGAACCAAATGACTGATTGACCACTTGTACAGTGTAAGCCCAGCCTCACATCTATACACAGCCGAGCATTGAAGAGTGAAGCACACGAGGGGAAATGGGTTGCCAATTACACGAGGCTCCCAGTCGGATATTATCTGCAAATTGAGAGGGAATGTGGTTGACAATGGGACAGAGTTGTGAAATCTAAGATAAAATATCATTTAGAGATTTACACCATTACATAGACTCCAAAAACCTGAGCAGCAAATACGATCAACTTCAAGACACATGTTTACAAGGGGTGAACCAACATTTCAAAGAGCAAAAGTATATTTATGGGATAATTTGGGAGCCTTTTGCATAATTTCCTCTTTGTAACATCGCTATTGAAGTTGCATTATCGCATTTAATTTGATTCCAACATTCCAAAATATCTACATGAAACCCATTCGTTTAATCCACTGCTGGATGAGGGCCTCCCCATTCTGTGGGTTGTGGGGGTTTGTTCGACCACACTTCATCGTTCGGACCAAAGCGGGTTGCAGTATAGATGTGGGCACATTGATTACAACATGTTGTGAGTGACGCTCACCAATACAAGGCACTATCCAGGCTCAACCCTGCTTTGCTTAGATCTGACGAGAATGAGCGCATTTCGGGCGATTTGGTCAAAGTAAAATATATAATAAATAAACATGCGAATGTCCCAGTGTTTTGCGCGTGTGTGCGTACACGTTTTGAAATGCAGAAGCTGTTGGGCGGGGTAGATGAGTCACACAGAAATGCTCATGTGCATAGACACCTCCCAGGCTGCAGGGCTATGAGATGACTGGTATACGACAGTAAAAAAAGGTGGTTGCCTGAACATTTGTACGACTATTTAAGCATTAATCCCCTTGCATGTGTGAATTTTCAATGGATGTTTTGAGTACGGCCACTTTCAAAATGCTCTCAAAGTGGCCGAACATTTCAATCGGGGCTCATCATCAAAATCGAGGCTCAACGCAGCCTTCCTGTGTCAACCATAACGAAGATATGTTTTTTTACTCTACAGTGTGTCTGCTATCAAGGAGGGCCATCGACCACAAAACATCATCCATCACATAATGCTCGCCTTTTACGTCAAGTGTTATTGACAAATGTGTTGATAAATTTGCTTCCTGGGTAAAGGAGATGCTCATTACTTTCCTAAACATTTATAATCAGTATGTATAATTTCCATCCGTTAATATTGGAGTCTATTCGACAGCTTCTGCCACGAAAGAAATTCAGCGCAGCAAGACAAGGCCATCCTCGTGATATTTTTTGTATTTTGCAGACAACTGCGCGTCAAATTACGCCTTGTGCCGTCTCGCCAACATTAAAGCCCGGTTGTTACTCGGGTAAATACAGCCGCTTCAAAACCTTTGTGGGGACATTGAAACGTGTAATCACCGACAGCACTCCCATTACAACGACAATGCTACATTGAGAATCAAGTGTATTGTACCTACACATGACATGGTAATACAATGGACACGTGGATTGCCTATTGATTCTAAGCCAAGCTAAAATGTTTCAAAATCACAGAAGCCCCATTTCCCCCCCCCCCCCCCCCCCCAAAAAGGACATATCGTGATAGGTAGTTGGAATAGATGAAAATGCAGTTTTTCAAAAAGCATTTTCAAATACAGTAAATGGATGCACATCATTAAAAGTTAAATATAATCTCTCAAAAAAATGTAATTACATCATATATACACAAAACACTGAGATGCATTTTACTGCAATATTCAGGTAATGTAATTAGAATTACTTTCCAGTGACTGCCTTTTTCAAATACGAACACGCCGTCTCTTCGAGATAGCAGCACCAATAAATACCAGAACACTCGTAGTGCCTCTTGGACACGCACAAGTTAGTGGGGGTTGCCTGTAAAGTGGTATTTGGTGTTACGACTACTGAGGATTGCCATTCTGCCGACGTTTAGCAGGAACACACACGTAGGAAGGGGAGTCAGAAAATTATCAAGTCATTCCCATGAGGATACAAAGGAGAGCAGCAATAAATCACGCAACGAGCTGCAGTGGCCGTAGCCCCTTTTGCAAGGGACAACAGTCTGTGGCGTCGCCCAGCTTGGCGCTACAGAGGCCGGGGGGAGTGTAACCCCAGACCGGGTCCCAACCGAGGTTCGTGGTTGTGGCCCCGGGGACCCCAGTCCCCGAGGCCCGGCGATCCGGCTTTACGATGTTGTAGTCGGTGCGTGACCGAGAAGCCGCTGTTTGCCTCCAGCTGGGACAGGATCAGCAGCACCTGCCTGTTGGGGAACAAGCAGTGGACATCGTCAGTGACCTCCCGCCCACACCGATTTATAATGGAGACAAAAAAAGAAGCCCATTCGGGAGTGCTTAGAAAGTTCGTAAAATGTTGGGTATCAAACTCCGCCTGAAGATGGAAGCTTGTGTTGCCTCCGAAACGTCGTGATTTTTATTTTTATTTAACTTTTATTAATTTTAATTAGATTTTTTACCTACGTGACTTTACCGAAAAAACCTAAGAATATGAATCATTGCAGTCATGAAAGCTTCAAATCTAGAATCATAAACTCCAGCAATGGCTACCGTAGAAAATCAAGGTCAGAATATCACTGGTGCCAGTGTTGTTGCCGCCAATCACACCCTCGTCATATCATGCAACATTCTTTCCACCACGTCACGCACCACCCCCCATCTGACCCGTAGATCTTCCTCTCTTGGGTCTCCACTCCTGTACAACACCCCGCACGATGCGATTATCTTTAACAATCCCTGAATGATGGCCGAATGAAGAGCTTGTCACAGGAGACGTGCGTGCGTACCGGTTGAGCGGAGGCACGCTGTCGGCCGTCTTGAGCCCCCCGCGAGTGGAAACGACGTTGAAGCTGTCGGAGCAGTCGCACACGACCTGCAGGTAGCGGTCAGGGTGGCGATTCTCCACCACCACGATGAGGCCCGCCCAGCCTTGCGTCAGATAGTAGCACGACATGCCCTCCCGCGCCTGGGGAATTCCACCGGTCAGGTTTGCTTTCTTGCGCGTCACGATGTTTAACAAACGTGCTGTTATGTTATGTCATTAGACTGCCAGATGAAAGCCCCCCTCACCCGCATGGTCATAGAGGGCCCGTTTTGATCATGTGCAGGAGTGAGATGGATTACGACATCGCAGGGTCACGAGAGATGGAGATGACGTGGGGAGGCCTCATTCAGCAGTGAGTATCACATGGCTTGTGATGGCAATCGACTAAACAAATGCCATGCTCGTTTTTCTTTCCAAAAGCAGCAAAAAGAGCACTCAGAATAGAAGGCAGGAGATACAGAATTGTGCTTTTTGTGGTCACTTTAAGCACTATGCATTGCGATTAACTAACTTCTCAATGCTGCCTCATACACACAAAGGCAAAAATATCACGGAATATTAAAATCTTTAAAAATACTATCGTGAAGCCTCAGCGTAAAAAATGCTGATGCTTACGAAAGATAATTGAGAGTATAGTCGAGGTTCAGATAAATAACCGTGAAGGCCTATAAATAAAATCACCACTTACTATTATTGCAAATACGAGATTGTATGTTTATCACAATCATAAAATCCACCACCTCAGCACACTCGGACAAATAAGCAACACCTTCGAATGCGATGAACATCATAGTTCTCGAAGATGGATGTTAAAAATTAATAAGGGTAATGTGTAGGGAAAAAACAAAACCTTTTATCAGACGCCAAAAGGCCAACCCAAACCAAAAAATAAAATGATCACCATCATTAGCACTGCACCCTCTCTGTACACCACCGCCAGCGCACACAAGTCCCTTGCCATCTGCATAATTCACATCGTGACAAAACGGTTGAAACCGCATATTGCCATGGCAATTTACCCCATCGGGCATAACAGGGACCCCATCGGTCGCCACGATTTCGCTAACCGCGCGCGAATAAAAAAGAAAGTGGGGGGCCCACTAGCCAACGCGCCCCCTCCTCCCCGCCCCCCACCCCCCCGACGTTCGTTCAGCTCACCTCATGGCATTGCCCCTTGTTGACGGCTAAATTAATAACGGCGCTGGCCAGCACGCTGGGGGGCAGCACCAGCTGCTCCACAAACACCGACTTGGAGCTGTGCACGGCCAGGATGTAGCTGCAGGGACTCGGCAGCTTGCCTGCATGTACGGACAGGATTGTTTTGAACACGTTGCGAGAGACATTTAAATCTCATTAGGGTCCTCAAGTCACCTGTCGTTTATACCACCCCCCCCCCCCACCGCCCCCCCACAGATAAGTTATTACATACAAATGAAAGTTTTCCAGTTGAACAACCTCGTGTACCGAACCGACCTTCTTAGGTAATCGCGAACAGTACTTTGCGTCAAAAGTTTGTTAAGGCTATATGGGGAATCTCAGTCTTTGTTGGGCTTAATGACTGATATTTGACAGGAACTATGAAGTGTTTAAACAGCTATTCTTACATCAATGCGAGTCATTGCATGGAGCTTGACATTGATTATGATTCTATAACATTGGCATTACTTTGTAAAATACCTCATGGTCATAATACCTGAAATAACAAAATAAAGTATATCATGCATATCATTTAATAATTTACCTATAAAATCGAGATTTCATGTACTGAGTAAATTTGAAAAACATAACCTTGTGTTTTTCACCACGCTTTAAGCATTCTGTTCATCGGCCTTTATTGGGAACAAAAACATCTATTTTCACAATCCATTTATTTTTCCCAATTATCAAATATTTCACAGAGACAGCAAAATATCCCTAAAATGGAGAAAGCAAAAAAGTATAACTTCTCCATCGAGTATAACTCTGCAGATTAACAGGTTCAGGATTGAATGGACTCATTTACAATTTGATGGCAGCAACATTTCTGCAGGGATGGATTTTGACAAAGAGGCCAAGAAGCCATGAGATGGAAAGTACTGAACACGAGGGGGTGGGGGGAGGAAAAGGTAACAAGCAAAATGAAGAAAACCGCTCAAGATCGGACAGGATAGATGTGGGTTATACTGGTAGGAACCACCTGGTTCCACCAGCCCAGGGGGGATTATTGTGTCCGTCCGTCGTGCATCCAAAAATGGGAGGGGTGGGGAGGGGCTGAGTGGGGAGGGTGGGGCTGGTTGGGGAGGGGCTGGGTGGGGAGGGGCTGGTCACCCCGTGGTGCCCTTATAAAACTCAACGTTTAACCTACTCACGCCGGCTTGTGCCCACCCTCACAGTCGGGCATATTTGCGGAAAACACCACGCCGCCGTTGACCCTGACCATTGACCGAGCAACCCAACGTTCCTACCAGCTCCCTCCGCAGGAATGTGTTGTGATGCAATGGCTCACAAGTGACGACATCACGTTTATCCCTCCGAAACAGGAGAAGGATTTCTCCACAACTCTGGCTGCCGCCTGATAATGCTGGTTGTAATTACTGGCGAAACGTCACGCTACTCAAACTGTAAATGCTGTGGATTTGCTCTCCAACACACCGGTGTGCTGTACCAGTGACGAATTGGTCCACGTTCTGTTTACGTGACAAACCTTTCTAGTTGGCTGTGTCGGGTGGTGGCGGGTTTAACGATGCACTTACATTTATGCGATCTAACCCAAACACCTCTCTTATGGAGGATGTTTGAGCCCAAGAGCTGTCAATGTCCAGAGTACTAAAGCAGAGAAGGCAGTAAGATCCCAGCCTCACCTGTCGGTGAATTGGGTGAGGTGGGACCAGCGGTTTGCCAGTGGTTGAAGGCCAGACAAATGATGGCGTACTGGCCAGGCGCCAGCATGCTGCTGCAGCCCACAAACTTCTTAACAGCCCTCTGGCTGTGCACAATGACCTTCTCCAAACACATCTTCTCTTTTTTGTCCGTGGTGACTTGGTAGATGACAATGCACAGATCCAGAATGTTTCCCTCCACGTCGTCTCCCCTCCTGCATGGCAAAAAAACAAAAACGTGTTTTGCCGAGAGACGACCTCGAGAACAAAAACACACAACTGATTTTGCCACGTGTTCAACAGACCGCTTTGTTTTAGCCTACTGCACAGCGCCTGCTAACATTATCTGGTGCGTGGGTTAACCGTCATCAATCATGCCACGAAAATTAATTTGGCATGTTCTGATTCATTCCTCTCGCCACCATAAAATCTATAAATTGTAAAAACTGAGTTAAGAATATATATATTTAAGTTTCCTTTGTACACAACTCTCTCATTGGCAGTGTCTGATCTGCGTCGTCTTGTTCATTCCATTAACCTAAAGAAAACGTTGAAAAAACTCGTGTGAATCGCAATCTATTTCTTTGCACACAATTTGGTGGAAGTATCCCGAGTGCAAGACTCAATTTTAATCAACGAATTGATATTATATCCAACATTCATATTGTGGTAGAATCACGGTTAGGTTAAACGAAGTGGGGGGGGGAAATTCTAGATTTGAAGCTTTCGTGACTGCAAGGAATCATACTGTTGGGTCTTTTCGGTAAAGTCACATAGGTAAAAAATAAAATTAATAGAAACAAATTATTATTTTATTTTGTTTCTATTAATTTTAAATTTTACCTACATGACTTTACCGAAAAAACCTAAGAGTATGGGGGGCAAAAAAAGCTGTCAAACTATCATGCAGGAACAATGGTCGACCATCATGACAGGAGGCCATTGTCAGCCAGCTGCTGGAGAGCCTCGTCAAGGTGTACGGGTCATGGGGTCATTGGATCAAACCTCGCCGTGCTGGTCAGTGCAAGTCGGTAAACGTTGGGAAATTATATAAAGAATAAGAATATTCATACTGGAGGAATCCGATGGGCTAGAAAACTCTTTTTCACGGATGTCAAGTCGGGGTGGGTAAGAACATAACAACAACAAACAATGCAAAAGTCACGTAGAAGGGAAACAATAAAATAATAAAAATAAAACATGATAAAATTCTCACGACAAATTTCAGCTATTTTGCTTCTAAAGTTTTATTTTTCTGATCAAATAATGTGATGAGATGTGCGGAGAGCTCACCTGGCACCTTCTTGAAACAGGGTCAAATCTACTTCGGTGTGGTAAAACACGCTGACGAGCGTGGCAGAGATGGGCCTGCCGTGGGACACGGGAAAGGTGCCCGGCAGGCGCACCTCATTCCAGTCCGGGTGCGTCTTGCAGATGTCCACGCTTTCGTAATACCTTGCACAAAAACAGGCCATTCAAAGTGCCTTCAACGTTTTGTAGAACCTCAACAATACTGAGTATTTGCAATGAAAATAAACACCCCCCCCCCCCGCCCACAATTTTAGCACGTGCCATGCATCGACTAAAATGTGTTATGCTCAAACGCACCTTAACATTATAATGAGAATCTCTGCCACATCACTCAGCCGGCAGCATACTAATTGCCACGTAAGCCAATGTAGTTACAAAAGCATTTAGAATCAGCGTGAATCATGCATCTGTTCAATAAACCATTACGAACCCGACTGAGAAATGTTACAAATGTAGTGGAAAATTGTAAACTAATGAAAACATAGATCAAATTTATGAAAATCCCAAGATAATTTAAATATTACATGAGAATGACGATGTTCAGAATTAAGATCATCATGATGATCGGGTCCGATGGAGATCACTGACAATGTTCACGATAATGATACCTATACTTGTAGGAAAAATTCTATGCAAGTGGTAACCTGCTGTTTGAATATTATAACGTTTGCAGATTAAGGAGAAATGGAACTCCAGCCAAAACATTTTCCTGAGAGATGTTTTGGAGCTCAGCCGAACGCAACTGTCAGAAACTATTAGATCAGAGTTTTCAGTCAAATGCCTTTCATACTTCAAACATAAACCCCACAGCTGAAACTCATTGTTGGCCGTCCCAGCTTCAGCTAAGATATCCATTAGAATTGTAGGTAAATAAGAGTGTGAAACTACAATACACTTCAACTCTATGAAAAAGTATTTTTTTTTATCACTGCAGAAACCTAAAAGTAATTGCCACAAGGCCACAGATGTCACAATCTCTGGGTAAGGCGATGGTTAAATATACAATGCCTGCCTAACACCTCTCTGAGCCAAGCCTAATTGACATCTGGAAACCTGTTGAGGGGGAACAATGTTCATTACACCCACACTAACAATGCGCAGCCACCCTATCGGACCGAGAAAAACAATAGCCAAACTTAAAGACAGCCCTTTGTCAATTGACAGCTGGATTAAGGCCTCCCCCAGGGCAGCAGAGTACCAGTCACAGAGAGAGAAAAAAACATTTACACCATTGGAACCTCATTTGCCAGTAAAAAATATGATAATTGTTTTTTTACCCTTCTATCTGGCAACAAGGAAAGCTATCTCGGGTGTGGACCAATCAACTTCAAGGACAGTGCATACATTATCAGAGTTATGTTTTTTGTTTGCATTATGACTGCAGGTATTGTGGTCTATGCAAACATGATTCCTTGTAAAAAAGGTGTCAGTTTTTTGGCCAGGTAGAAGAGTAAAAAAACAATTATCATAAAAAAACATGTTGGACAAAATTCCTGTTGGCTAATGTGGTTATGGCACACTGCTTGACGCTTGGAAAGAGCTGAACCCCAAACTCTCAAAAGCATTTTTTTTTTTACACAAAAGTGCCAATAAACTAAATTGCAGCTCTGCAATTACTTTCGCACACCAACTAGTGCTGATGGAGGAGCAGCAACTAAAGGTAACTCTGGTTAGCCCCACAGAGGGTACTTTGATCTACTCCTCCATGTATCCCCAGACGTCTTGGAAGAGGTGAGAGCACCCACACTTTTCCCCACCCCGTGTAACCTGCTGATTGACTGCGGTGTGCCCATGTATCGAGGTGGACAGGAGCAGGGGGGGGGGGGCATACAAGCATCTCTCAATGTTGCAACTGCTGCGCCAGAAAAGCGAATCGGGCACCCCGCGATAGCCAGTCAAGTGTGCGAGCCAATACAGCACAACGCCACCCTTGTATATTTATCCTTGCTTACCGTTTAAAGTCATCATAGTTCATCCAGAAGACGCCCTCGCTGTTGCCGTGCGCCATGAGTTCCGTACGCAGTTGAGGGGTCCACTCGGAGGAGTTGTCGGACCATGGCCCATTCCAGGAAAAGCGGCCCCAGGGATTGCGCAACCTCATCAGCCTGTACACCCACACGTCCCATCACACACCAGCACTCTTTCCTCATCGGTCTGCACACCCACGCGTCCCATCACACACCAGCACTCTTCCCGTCACAGTTTTTGCCCTACGAAGCTACTCGCGTAGGAGACAGAAAACACGCGCGCACTCCGACTATTTGCCACTGCAAGGGAATGTAAAAATGCACGTGCTGCGCCATTTGGTAACAACATCAGAAGGTTCTCAAGGTACAAAAGTAGCCAAACATACTACCCCCCCCCCTTCGAGGGGGTTCTCAAGTTCTCCCGAGTGGGGGCCTTGCTGCCAGCAGCGGTGTGAATAAGCACTTGCAGGGCTGCACCTTTACCAGAATGCTGCTCCAATGACTGATGGGGGTTGCGCTCAACACAACTGGCTACACTGAGCCAGTTGCAGAAATTTCACATTCCCATGTCATGGTTCAGTACATCTGCAGAACAATTGCCATTGACTCCCTACAAATCAACATTGATTTATTCGACCCTGAGGAGATAAGCGTAACATTTGGTTTCTGCATCGAACCCCCGGCTTACCTGTGGCCCTCGATGTCTCGCACATCTAGGATGGAGTAGGCGTGCCTTGGTCGCAGCCCCACGCGGTCATACTCGGTCTCGTCCGCCTTCATGTTCCCTCCGCCACATGACGCACCCATCAAGAAGCTGATACAGCAGCCAGTAGAGAAACATCGGCGCTTTACAAATGCGTTGTGACATTATTTATTTTTAGTACAAACTGTACTTCAAATAAACTTTTCGGTTTTTTTAGACACTACCAAAGACATTACGGTCCCACTGCTGGCGAACACATCAGGTGGTGTAAATCTGTTTGATGGCTCGGAGCCAGTGGTGGAAATGTCATATTCCCATAAGTGGGGATTTGATGGATATTTACATGACTTTCACATTCACTTGAAAAAAGTGGTTACGATGAACGATCCAACATCACAGTGCCAACCAGTTAGACAGTACGGGGCTGTGTGGCATTATTATCCACGCATTCATGGCAGGGGTGGGAAATCTACAGCCCCAATCATATGGCCTGTAGCCACAGGAGGCCTACCACTCTTCAACAGCCAGCAAACAAAATTCATCCATCACTGCAAGCATCTCAGCCACACTTTGTAATGTTTAGAGCTCTTCGTCACCTGTAAAGATGTACATTTATTGTGCCGTTATTAGATAACGCTTAAGGTGTGCATTAATATGTTGTTGTTGTCCGACGAAAGGTATTTGAACGTTCTGTCTGGGCCTCAGCAATGATAGGGCTCCCCCCCACCCTTGCCATATGGACAAAGCAGAATAAGCGCCGTGTCTCACGCAACTGGGGCCTTTCTTATCCACGGTGGCCTAGCACAAGCCCAGAGGCCTAAGATGTCATGCGGCCAACAACAAATAGATAGCACCATTACAATTGTAATGGATAAGAATTGATACGCAGAGCGCAAAATAAATAAAATAAAAATCGTGAATTGAGCAAGATTATAAGAACTTGTAGAAAACGAACAAAAATCGAAGGGAATTCCAAAGTTGGGTAGTGCACGTGGAGAAGCGGAAAGAGAAGTGTTTAGACCTGCAGTCTTGTTCGTCGAACGCAAGTTTATTTAGTTTAACCAGGTGAGCACTCGGAGAATAGTCTCACAGAAAAAAACCAAGACGCTATGCATAGCAATAGACGCTCACCCTGCCTCCTTGCTGCTGAGAAGTTTGGCCCAGATGAGGTCAGTGTCGATGGGCTCACTGGGGCAGATGGGGCTGGGCTGCAGCTGCACGCTCTCGCAGGGCGACCCCGTCAACGTGGCCAACCCCTCGATGGTGCGGCCGGCCTGCAGGGCGTTGTAGGAGCCGTGCAACTTTGCCAGCGCCTTCTCTATGAGAGGCACCCACAGCTGCTTCCGCTGGGCCTGATCGCACCACGGCACAACGCAGACATCGTCGTCGACATGAAGAACACGGTCTCGTGCGACAAGAGCGCGTACGCGCGTCGTGCACCAACCAGGAATGGTTGTGCACGATCATGTTCATTGGCCTACGGCAAACGACAGGGCGTTTCAAACTTCGTCCGAATATGCAACTCCCGATAAATATAAATTATGGGAAAAAGTTATCATTTCATAATGCATTAAAGTATATTTACAGCACTTTGACAATCCACTGCTTGATGAGGGCCTCCCCATATTGTGTGGGTTATTTCATTAAACTTCACCAGGCTTGTAAGTGTGGGTTGGTTAAGGCACAGAGCATATATATGGCAACATAGAAGTATAGCACAACAATGGATTTTGCTCATTTTGCTCATGAAAAATGAAATAATATTGGGAAAATAAACAGATTTTGAACCAACCAAATTGGCGATATTGCTAATCCAACACTCCAATGTCAGAATACGCCATTAATTATTTATCAAGATCAGATTACGTTTGTAAACAATTTAACAAACAATAAGGTTTACTCTACCTGACAACTGAAATTTGAATTGCCGTACTAACTCATAATAATAATACCACTAGCGAAAAGCAACCTTGTCCATTGTGAATGTGTTAATCTGCCGCTTTAGTTGCAGGCAAGTGAAATAATCGGCGGCGAGGCAGAAGCGGGAGCAATTGTTCGCGACGAAAACATCTTGCGGGCGACGTTTCACGTGACGCACGAGGTCACTTGAAAAATCGACAGCGACGCGAAGAAAATAAACAACGGACCTGGGAAAACAGCAGGCAGCGGCTGTCGTCGCACGGCAGCATGTCATCCACCAGCACCGTCTGCCACACACCGTCCTTACACAGACGCACCTGGAGCAAGGGGGGGCAGGTGACGATGTCATCACAGGAGACGGTACCACGAGGTTTCGCTGTTATACGGGGGGGGGCGCACGATCCAGATGGGCGCCGGTTCGATCTCAAGGTGCGGGCAGTTGACATCAATGAGCAAGCTTATTAAATCCACCCGGCCGTATATGAAATGGCATGTCGTGCACGGTGGGGTAAAGCGTGGCTACTGCCACCTCTTCCGAGATGTGTGGCCAGCGGTGAAGAGTAGGCCAAATACCCTGTACAGGGGCTCTAGTGGAAGCTCTTCTGCCAACAATAGCATAAACAAGCAGATGTAGGGTTGACATTTTACCTTCTTTTTATTCATACTTTATATATGTAGTATTGTTTTTTTGAAATTCAGATATACTGGTATGATTGTGTATCTCAGGATAATGAAACATTGCACAAAAATATGCAATTTTCAATTCAACAATTTCATAAATATTTTATTTAATAGACCGTACATTTTCAAAGCAATTTCATCAGTGGTTTAAAAAAACGTATTACCACTCGTCTGATAACATGTCATGCAGCTCTGACCTGATAGGCTCCCTCTGGGCAAATCTGCCTGGTCACCATAACCCTTTCCACAAGTTGTGGTCGTTCCGCCAACACAGCCAAGGCACTCAGAAACCTGAACAATGCAGTTCACACAAAAAATGAATGAATGAAAAGAACGAGCTTCCTCTTCATTTCCTTAGGCATCCAAAACAATCTTCAAGACGACAGAGTGTTGAGTGGGGGTGCGCGTGAAGACAGAAGTGACCCACTATGATATGTAATTCGAGTAGGTCAACACATTCCTGCGGAGGGAGCTGGTAGTAACGTTGGGTTGCTCGGTCAATGGCCAGGGTCAACGGCGGCGTGGTGTATTCCGCAAATATGCCCGACTGAGGGCGGGCACAAGCCGGCGTGAGTAGGTTAAATGTTGAGTTTTATAAGGGCACCACGGGGTGACCAGCCCCTCCCCACCCAGCCCCTCCCCACCCAGCCCCTCCCCACCCAGCCCCTCCACACCCAGCCCCTCCACACCCAGCCCCTCCCCACCCAACCCAGCCCCTCCCCAAAAGTGTAATTTGTACTGTACAAAATATATTTCAATAGAAGATAAACCAAAAGAGAAACATTTTCTCGACAAAATGATGCATGCAGAATATTACTAAAAGTTATTTTAGCCATGTGTTCATCAGTAATTTCACACACAACTGGAGAAACAGAATAATTCGAACTAGACGTTTTGTATGTATGTTGAACGTCTTTCGCACCGTACGTAGCCAACCGTGCTATTTCATGAGTAAAACCCATTCGACTATTTATCACTTTATCAAGTGGTAACTCGCTCAGCAGATAATAATGTAAGAAAAGGAATGTGTCCACAAATCTATAATTCGTTATTAAATAACAATACAACAGTCTTAGCTATGTTGTTAAAATGCTGGAAAACATGTTCCTAGAACACGTTTTTTTTAAACCAAAAAGCTCAAATTACGTTCTAACAGGACATAACAGAAGCGTTTGAAACATTCACAGCTGGCATGTTGCCAAACACCTGGAAATCTCTCAATTCTCGATACAATGCACGTAACCAACTCCGCGGCAGATACGTGGACGTTTACAGGAATGAGACTTGTACGATAACATCACCATATCACCATTGCCTGGGTGTGTACTTTTATTGACCTAGATCTGTCATCTAATAATTCTATAATAATGGATAATACCTTCATGGACAGCGTGCATATGACACACTAAGTAGCAGGCTCGTCAAGAACAGGAGTACAAAGCGTACCAGCAGTTTCCCAGCAGGCCCTGCGATATGTCACTGGGGCGCGGAGTGCGGAACACGACCCAGGGGATGGACGTCTCATGGGGCGCGCAGGTGATCTGCGTAGGCCGCAACCAGTGAGCCACACGCTGCACGATGGAGCTCTCCAAGTTCGAGCCCAGGGACTTCTTGCCAGGCACGAAGCTGTCATCCACAAAGTTCACTCCGGCCTGCAGCAAAACAAAGCGGAGCAGCATTGCGTCTCGTTGGCCACACGGGCAGCGGGGGGGGGGGGGGGGGGGGGGAGCCTGCACTTACCGAGGCGACATCACGCCAGCCCTGTAGTGCCAGAGGAGCGAGATGAATAGGCGGAACCCCACACAACCCGACTGAAGGTTAATCTCACTTTATAAAAATGTTTCATATTAAAGCCATTTGACTACAACAGTGTCTGAAATTGATGAAGGTGGCCGGGGTCAAACAGCAAAAATATAATTGAGTGAGAGTTCGTCACGGTGTTTCCTCATAGGCACAGTGGACACGAGCCAGAGCAGAATGGACGTTATTCTGTTCAGCAGGTTAACATCGGTCCGTTGTTTATAACGTAGCCTGCGTCATCGCGCCCCTCTCAACAAGGTCACACCACCACAGGGTTGCATCACACCATTTGCATTCGAGCTCAAGTGACCAAGATGGACGCAATCGCTGCCCGTAATGGACCGTAGCATCGTGCCCCTCATCGCTGGCGAGAGGGATGGGGTGGTTTGTGTCTCATGATGGGGAGGATGGGCCTCGGATAATACAAAATCGAGAATAATCCAAAAATATCCATTTTCCGTGGCTCTCGATGCTAGAAAACACTAATATAGGTATAAATTATGTTTAAGTTAAGAAAATTGCGTTTGTTAACGAACGAAACAAGCACTTGTAGCAAATAATGTATTGATCTTGTTTTATTACTGCCGATCGGCCGATCGATGGGAATGCTCAGTGATGACACTTTCCTGCTCCCGTGCAGATAACTCGGTCCACTAAGTGGACAGCAGCAGAGCCACGCCAATCAACATCAAACTCCACCCACTGTTGTAAAGATATGTAACTACTGTACTGTAGAGGCAATCGTGTGGATTTTGGTTGAACCGGAGCACATATTTCTTCAGTTTAAGCATGTGACTTGTAATAAACATTTCCAAGAATATCAATGTATAACTGTTTTTAGATTATTAATTTGGGCTTACGGGAAAATCCATGATTTATTCATTTATGTCAAAATCTCAGGTGCGCGGTTAATCCGCAAATCAGATAAAAACGCAAGCGCATAATCCATATATATAAAAGGCAAAGTTGTTATTATGTGCGCCTGTTCAAAATGTTTAGCGTACTTCCCGACATGCAACAAACTGGAAATTTGCCATGTGGGTACTTTCCAGACTGTACACTATGCAAAAATTATAAAAATACATTTTTGTGTTTTTTTTTTGGCGGGGGGGGGGGGGGGGAGCTCAATAATGCAGTAATTTTTTTGCACGGCAAGTGAGCTGTGACGTCACATCTGTCATGTGACCCACGCGCCGCGCGGCGACCCGACTTCGATTCCCGCTCACGGCCACCACAGGTCACGATTATTTCAACCGCTCCTGGGCCTCCCCGAGGTCGACTCAGCTTCAAACGAGTAACTGGTGTGTGAACATCACCACTGGGGGGACAAAGGCGGCCGGGTGTGGTGAATCCAAGTCCCGGGCAAAAGCTGGGTAGTAAAGCTAGTATATGTATAAAACTAAACTATTTATTGTTTTACCAGGTAAGGCCCAATGAGAATTATAGGTCTTGTTCAGAAGCGACCTGGCCACAAATGTATAGCAGCCAAATACGAATGATGTTGATTCTAAATGCTGATACACTAACGTTTGGAAAACCAAAAATTTCACTACATAATGAACCTTTTCTGAATATTGAGCAGATGCCAAAATACATAATTGCATGCATTTAATGCCGCATAAATGTATCAATTATAAAAGATTCGGATGCATATATCAATCATGTTGCATGTACGAACGTATAATTTATGCAAATTATATGTATACGATATGCTGGTATATTTAGGATAATGAAGAAAACCAAAATTGTACAAATTAGATGGTTACAATTAGAATCGAATTGCAAATCTCAATCAATTTTCAACCATGAATTGTGAAAAGGAATCAAATCGGCAGAGGATGTTGCATGCTAACATAATGAAGGAAAATAAAATAGTGCCAAGCAGGAGGGGCGAAGGAGCCAGGTGGAGGTGCAGAGCGCGGCTGGAGCAGCGGCCGGGACGAGAGGAGTGCAGAATACAAAAACCAAAATGCACGTTCGTGAGCGTGTACAGTTTATGCTTGAGCGGTAGTGTTGCGGTTAGCGCTACGCTGCGCTACGAAACCCGGCGACCCGAGTTCGATTCCCGCTCACGGCCAACACCAGTGACGATTATCTGAACCGGTCCTGGGCCTCCCCTAGGTCGACTTAGCCTCAAATGAATACCTGGTGCGGTGCGTAAACATCGCCACTGGGGAGACAAAGGTGGCTAAACGCGGTGCTGGCCAACCACCCCCTCCGTGTGCCGTGCCGGCTTTCATAGGTGCTCGTTAACAGCACTTGCCCCAACAGTCTGTTAAGGCTATATGGGGGATTTGTGTCTTTGTTATATGCTTGAAAGCACATATTCATTTTTATCAAAAGGTTAGCTTCTCTCATAAGGCATGTTCATTAAACGCCTCTGTAATTACAATGGTGTACCAATGCAATATTCATACTGTTTTTTTTTAAATAAGCCTTAGCACATTATTATTATTTAGCTTATTAGTTGTTCAATAAATTAAACGTTTTCTTTGGGCGACGTGGCACGCGGCAACCTTGGGATGACGCAGATCAGTCACGGCCCACGGAGCAATTACATGATTGAGGTTAACTCCTCTCATCCTCAAATTAACGCATCTTCCATCCAGGTTCTCAACATCATCACAGACGACAGAGCCGTGCCTGTGTGTAATGCGAGGTCACTGTACGCGATGGCACTTGAGTGACGCAGAGTTTAGAGCCTCGGGCGGTCGGCGTAGGTAACACGACCCTTGGATCGTTAAGACACTCCAAGGACAACTTTTGTGATTCACTAAATTGCTGATCTATGCTCTCGTACCCAAAGTGCCACAGATAACAGCAGTTTCAATGGACTTCAGTACGAAAACCCAATTTATCTTTGAAAAGATGACATGAACATCACAACTTAAATGAACAAATGTGTGTGTGTCATTGGCGATTGAACAACATTTCTCAGTGGAAAACTTATTGTATTTAATACTTTTGGAAAATGTTAAGATTCAGTCATTTGTTTGCCTGGATTAAACTTCTGCTTTAAATGGAAAGCATTTTTGTTTAAGTATAAGAATTTACAATCCACTAGTAGATACAGGCCTCCCCACACTTTTTTTGTCATGGGGGTTGTTTAACCATACTTCACCAGTTTAGTCAGTGCCTATTAGTGAAATAAGGGTGGGAATTTACCAGCAGTGGTTCTGATATTTTCCCACTAACGTCAACCATTTCTGGGAATTGAACTCAGTTTGCCAGGTTCATAGGGCAATGTACGAACCCCTATGCCACTGCTCCGCCCCATGCGTTTTGTTTACAGGCGTTCAATTTTTAATTTAAAACCTCATGAGAATATTCTGAATGAGTATAAAATCATACTCTTTGGGTCTTTCGGTAAAGTCACGTACATAGGAAAAAAAAAATCATAGCAACTGTAAAAACAACATGACGACTGAATCAAAAAAATGAATCAACATGAAGGAAATACAGCGAAAAGAGTAATGGAGCAATACATGAACTGGAAATGAAAGCGACACCTGGGGAGACATGACTCGATTTGACACATCGCACGTCGCCTTACGGGGCAGCCGATATGAACTGCGACACCATTAAAGGGGGAAATGAAAGAGCCACTGAGAAATGTTGTTCAATCGCCAATGACACACAATGACCCAGAAAGTCCATAAACCAACGTGACGTTTCTTACCTAGTACTGAAAACCAAGAATATTTTCACCCCACCTCATTAAATCATGCTGGAGACAACAAAAAAACCCCAGTGGTTCCCAAACCTTTCTGTGCCCCTGGACCACCGTCAACCCCTCAAAACCTTTTCACAGACTTCCACGCAAAAAACCACATGGGTGTTGTGAATAAAAAATAATATCCGCAACTGTGCCACGGATCACTTCCCACGGCGTTGTAAGTCACCACTGGCCTGCGAACCACACGTCGGGAACTACTGCTTTACGCAACACACACACACACATTTATTATTTTATACATAAATATCTGTGCGGCGTATTGCAAATGCACCACGACAGGGCTGGCCGCGCCGAGTTTACGAGCACCCGAGCACCCTAGGCATCACTGAAAAATCTGTGGGGGGAAATAGTGGGGAGGGGGTCACCTCGAAAATGCATTTTTGTGCAACCCTTTCAGCAAATATTTTCCCGCCCCAGGCAACTGCTTATGTCGCCCCACGCTTATGCTGCCACTGCATCCAGCAGCAGATAAGAGGTCTGGCTCCAATGTATTGAATAACTGAAAATGATAACTCACATTAATAAATAAATAACCGTGCTGTAGTATATAGCGAAAAAAAAGTGGTTTAGAATTGCACAAATCCATCATATTGGACACGGGTAATCATTACGACAATCATAAACTGCCTTTTTTTACTTGGGAATAGTATATCAACCAATCTGGACTGTAAGGCAGAAATAATCTTTCCACCTTTCATGATAGAATGGTGAAATGCTCATGAAACAGCAATGTGTTGGACTCGTAAGTTTTTCGTCCACGATGGGATGTGATGTATGTAGAACTTCTTTCGAACCATACGTAGCCAACCACGGCCGTCAAAAATCTAAATTATTTCCCATCTGCAGTAATAGGTGGAGCCGTGGTGCAGTGGTTAGCACGCCCCCCCCCCCCCCCCCCCGAGTTTGATTCCCGGCCACGGCTAACATGAGCGGCGAGAGATATATTGTCCGATGATTTATATTGTTTCTTACATTCTCAAAAGGACTCCAATTTACATTTTGTGTTACAATTATCAAGATCATTCACAAATGTTGACCGAGGTTGAAAATTTCATGAAAGTGACCGGTGTTAATGAGTTTCCCCCGTGTAGTTTATACGATGGTGAATGGTATCTGTTACGGGCGGTCTCACCTCTTTGGATGCTTGAACGATGTTTTCACGAAGCTCTTCTGCCATCTTCTCATCGCTGTTCCTCTGAGCATTTATGTTGATACTTTCTCTTCTCTGTAATTTGTGCATACTCTTCATCTGTGGTTTAAGCTTTGGGTTGCTGCATGCTTCACAAACCTTATCCTTGACATCGTTATGCAGTGTACAAACACTGCAAACCCAAACACCAGGGTTGCTCCTATCTGACTGACAGATTGCACAGCCAATATCAATGGCCTTGTTATGATAGGTGCACTGCTTGCAAGTCCAGCCAGTTTTTACAACAGATGGAGGTTGCTGACACCCTGGCAATTTGGATGCTTTACATGCAGCACACTCAAGATTCTTCAATGAATTCACCAATGTGCACTGTGAACAGGTCCACACGAGAAAATGTGGGCTTGAGGAAGAGGTGTGCTTATGCTTAATTAAATTGGCAGTTGAACCAATGGCTTCGCTACTCCTTGGCACGTCATTGGCTGCTACAAAATTTGGGCGATTCCTGTTTCCAGAGACTTTTCCACCACTAGATTTGGATGCGGACACAAACAATTTTGGGGGCTTTGAACCCTCGGGTGTGCACTGCTTGGCCAGTTCTTCCCTTCGAACTCCTTTTGGCTGCGGCTCGGGAAGGACATCAAACCTCCGGACAAGTGCAGGACGCTCCACCGGACTTTCAGACTCGAAACTCCTGCTCATCGACACAACCTCTCCTCCTTCTGCGGTGAGAGCAGGCATCGGAGATTCTCTCTCGGCTTCTCCAACGTTGCCCGCAGTCGGGACACTCTCTGGGTACGGGTGAGCATATGCCGAGCAGTTGCTGCAATCTCCATTTTGCGTCGATGCCTCGGGAAGTCCTGTCCTGCAGTTCACGCATTTTAACTGACCGAAATTGCTCGGCGATATGGAGGTGAAGAATGCCGCCAACTCGTCAGGCTTACACTTCACATCGCTATTGATGCAGCTCCTCGGTGCTGCGTGAGATGGGCGATGGTGGGCATTGTGTGGACGCATCTCTTTGCGCATCTTGGGAAAATTAAGAGAGCTGGGAGACTGTGCACTGCTAAATTCCATCATCCGGTCTAAGGCCTCTGGCTCATCACCTTGGTCACTCACTTCAACATCGGTGTTTTGTACAAATCTATGCCCTGCATCTTGTCTAGAATGTGGGTTTATGACATTGGAAACTGCGACATTGATTTCAGATACAGTGGGACTGATTATTGGTAGAGAAACTTTTTCAGGGGCGCCACAGGCATTACACGCTTTATCCGCTATATTGTTCTCTAGAGTGCAACACCTGCAGACCCACGTTGTTTTAGGAATCTCACTGACGACTGAAGGAAGACCGGTTCCCAAACTCGGCAAAACCGTGTTATTATTTTCAGGCAGTGCATCAGTCTGCATTCCACAGATACCATCGGCAGTGTCTCTTGACACGTCTGTCTTTTGTTCGGGAGGTTGGGCTTCTTTTTCCGATGTCCTAGCTACTTGTGCCAACTCACCGGCTGTAGAGAAAAGCGTCCTTGAATTCTGGCAGGCTTGGCAATGCGTTGCCGTATGCGCATTCTGCTGGCCACCACACGCTTGACAATTCAAGGTTTTTTCGACTGCGACCAAGGATCCGCTGTTCACAGAGAGCCCATTGCTCAGCCTCAGAATATTCTCTAGATTGCACTCCATGCGAGGGCTCTCGCAAATGGAGCATCGGCTGAGCCCCTCTGGGTTGAGCAGAGTGCAGCGTTTGCATGACCACTGGCCGCTGCTGCCCATGTCTCCGTCATCCGCCCTGCAGCGAAAAGCAGAGGTCAACCAACAGCACCACCATCACATTTCATCTGAACAACGGCGTGATGGTGAAAACTGATGGACGATTAATTGAACTCATGAACCCACTGATGCACATACAAATTATTTCGTTAAATGACACATAAACAGTCTCTCACAACGTCGTGAGAATTATTTTATTATGTTTTATTTTTATTATTTTATTATTTCCCTTCTACATGACTTTACCGAAAGAACCAAGAAGATGAATCCCTACAGTCACGAAAGCTTTAAATCGAAATTTAGTCTCTCACAGGTTAAAACTCTTTTAAAAGAACCAAGTCCCCACATTCTATGATGATGGCAATCATCCTTAACAATTTTATCTGAAAAACCTTTTTTCAACACAACTGGGATATTATAACTTCAAGTAGGATGAATTTCCTTTTTCATTTAAAGCAAGACTTATCATCCTTTTAATAATAATTCTCAATTCTAAATATATATTAAATATGCATGTAAAGCATACATTCACACAACGACAGAGACTAACCATAACCACGCAATCACACTTCCATACCAAATCTCTCAAATATGCAGTACATAATACACGTTGCTACACATGAAAAGCACATCATTATACATGAACTTGCACACACACGGGCACGCATACATTAAACACGTTAATACACGCAGAACGACACATGCGTATGCAACACAGCCTTGAAAATGCTATGAGTACGCGCCAAAATTAATGCCTGCCTTGAACAGATGCCAGAACTATGACCTCCACAAAAATATATGAATGCCCTGGCAGATAATGAAAGACACAACACGAGCATCTGTTACTATTTGAACGTGCAACTAATGTCCGATTCAAACCGATAAAGAAGTTAATTGTTGTAATATAGCAACATTTATAAAAAAAAATCTATTTTTTCTGAATGAATCAATAAGCAGAGCATGTTTATACTTTAGCGCTGGGTCTCCACACTTCAGTTCAATCAACATTCTAAATTTTGTCAGAAAGATGCACGGATACCATGTACCACTGCATACGCAATGCGTGTGACGTCTTAAAACAACATCTTGAGACGCCTAAGGCTCTCCTCCTGGGCAAATAACGCATGCACAAGGGAGACTGGCAGCACATCTTCCGAGGGATCTCCCCAATACTCTTCGATAAGTTGCTTTGGGTAGTTGCTTTGGTTTGGCTGTTACAGCGTTTGTCATTCAGAATCAATCGTGAGAACCCTACATACACATGGGTGTGGTGTTCACCAACTTGCAGTGCCCCAAAGTTCTGAAATAAACCAATTCTGAAGGTAATTGTGTTCTTCATTTTCTTAAACCAATTCTTATCCGTAGTGTGGCGTTATGATCCAACTTTCTCATGTCTGAGCTTGAGCGCCGGCTTTCTGCTCTTTGTGTCTCGCGTTGATCGATTTTCGCACGCCACCACTTTTCCCTGACCTCTGATTAGCGCGGTCGGCTACTCGACGGTGCAAAAGCAGTTCAATGTACAGAATCAGAATCGTTATTTAGACTGAGGCAAAATCACACGGCAGACTTTGCTATTGTGTAAAATTAGAATTTTTAAGTGGGAATTTACTACAAATCACAAGTAGAGGTCAAGAGCCTCCAATCTTGTGTAAACCTACACATTCAACGCACATAACATGTTGGCAAAAGAACATCAGAATATAAACACAAGAACATCAGAATATAAACACACAATTCCATGACTAAAGGATAAATCAGCTGTGCCAGTTGAGGTGGTTCGGGGCCCTGACAAGAATGACCCCCCTGGATAAGACTCGCCCAGGTACCGGGGGGCACGTCCCTCCTGGCGAAGACCCCGGGGCCGGCCCACAGGACACGCTGGCGGGACTATGTCGCTCGGCCGGCCTGGAAACGCCTGGCAATTCCCCAGGAAGAGCTAGAGTCTTCGTATAGTAGTGTATAGTGTAGTGTATAGTGTAGTAGTGTATAGAGTAGTGTATAGCACTTTAACATCATGCTAATCTCTCACATTATCATAGCTACTTCTATGCTAAATTCCTCTGTTGATATGTAAACTCCTTTGTCAAGGCGCTCTTCTCCTCCCACCCAGCTTAAATGCGCTGCCAAGCTTAGCAGTGTTCATTGGAGCGCTGTCTTTCCGACAGCTCTGTTTCTTCACCTGAGGACGGCTGCTTGTGTTGTGGCCGAAACGTCGTGAGAATTGTATTATGTTTTATTTGTATTATTTCCCTTCGACGTGACTTTACCGAAAGAACCAAGAAGATAGTGTATAGCAGTTTAGTGCTAGTCTGTCGCCAGGGAAAGGGAGGTCTGGACCCCCCCTACTCAAAATGCTGCCGCCGACAAGCGGAATGAGAAAAAAACGAATTATGTAAATCCATCACAAGCTATTGCTTAGTGAATAACTGTTGCATTTACAGGAACACCGTGACATCCGTGGCGTGAGAACTTAAGAGTTTTTTTGTACTGACAAGCATCTTATCTGCGAGTCTCAGGGATAGATAAAAAAATATATATAAACATGAAGCGTAAACCAATTGGGAAATGAAAGAAGTGAAGAACATCACGGATGGGCATAACAATAGCACTAATGAAATTCATACATTTCATATAAGTCGCTATTCAGTCTCGTGATGGGATTTGGATAGGTAGATAGAATGGATTTATTTCAGCAGAAAGGGCCCAATAAACTGTTTGGCTATATTTCACAGACCTGCAATTTTAAAGTTATACAATGCAAATCTTCAGTTACAATAGAAAGGGAACGTCAAAACCCCAGAGAAACCTTTCCAGTGAGTAGTACGCGTCGAACAATGAAAATAATGTACTAACAATTTACGTTGTAAACTTTCATTGAATTTTTACTCAAAAACCGGCAAACGTCGTAACGAAGGCCCTGGAAAACTGTGAATTGTGTTTTTGTTCTTTACTCAGCAGAGCTGAAGTTACACCACCGTTCGCATATCTCTCTCTCTACATAACCACAAACAATACCCTTGTTTTCCCCCAGGTCGCTGTCGAAATACCCGGACGACGGCGCTTTGTGCAATACCTTACAGCTGTCTACAGATGCAACACAATAGGCACGATAAAGAACCCCCCCCCCCATGAGACGCGTGGATTTTGTTTATTTGTTACAAAAGCTGCATTGGTTACAACCACGTCAGATACTAGAACACATTTTCTGTTAAAAGGCTCTTTCCACGTTCACTCAGGTGGCCCTTGAAAAATAGACTTCTGGTCTCAATGGATCTCTTAATAATTCACGGCCCTTTCTAAATCCACTGTTGGATAATGGCCTCCCCCCCACCCATCCCCATATCGCGATTTTTTTAAAGATTTTTTGTAATATAAACTCCACCGTTCGATAGCCAAATCCCTCGCAAGCGCACGTACACAGACGGACAGACAAAAAAAAATCATTTTATAGGCAAGATGATGATAACCATACACGATACCAGTAACACAAACACGCAGACGAATACACAAAGACCAGTAATGTACTTGACACGCATGCTCACGTGTTATACACACGCACACATTGACATCGCTATAATACAGATGGGGGCATCAGTAATACACTTACACAGTGGCAACACGAACGTCTCTGTATTAAACACACACACAGTATTCTTCTGTAATACACACACGCGTACTGGCAACAGAAATAACCACACACACACAGTCAACATCGTTCTGCATGAAATACACAGATTATAGTGAGATCAGCATACACTTAGCAACGCCACCAACACATCAAACCTACATTTAACTTTAACACAAACTGATATCCCAAATGCGTTGTTAACACACGTGCTGCCCGTATTATTAAAAGGTTCCACCAATAATATAACTAATTGACAATGACGCAGTACACAAATACCTCTAATACACAAATACCTCTAATACACAAATACCTCTAATACACAAACTTGAAAACCTCTCAGACATGTGCACACATCTAATACGCTTACAGATACCACAGACATCTGTACAGTAATAGGTTTTAACCCTTTCAACTGGTACAAAAACTGACACCTTTATACAAGGGATCATGTTTGCAATAACCACAACACAAGCAGTCAAAATGCAAACAAAAATAAACTCTGATACTGATGTACTTGAAGTTGATTGGTCGACTGACTGCTTGTGTTGTGGTTATTGCAAACATGATCCCTTGTATAAAGGTGTCAGTTTTTGTACCAGTTGAAAGGGTAAACCCCTATTACTATATATTACCACTGGTAAAGGAGGTCGCAGTGTAAACATCTGTACACACACTAATACACAACTGAGAACTAAGATGACTCATCCTGTATTACAATATTGGAGGATATCTTCTAACAGATACAATACAGCCCGCATACAGTACACATTAGTATAATAAACATGTCCACGTGCAATACATTAGTATACTGTACACATCCAACACATGTATTTATATTAAACACTATAAGATATAGAATACAGTACAAATATATCTTCAAGGTCTACTTAGCCTGGACAACTGTGCAATAATAACACTATGTAACACGGTTTTAGTTCCTGGGTACTAAGTGTTATTTCGTAATTGCTTATGCCTCAAGAGTATATAAAGTGGCTATTGTTATTACCCACAAACTTTGCTCTTGTGCCCAGGACTTTACGTGAAGGAATTACACAAATGCACACATTGACAATTGTTACATTTAAAAATATCACCGTCCTGGTCACAAAAGCAAAGTTTGTGGGTAATAACAACAGCCACTTTATATACTCTTGAGGCATAAGCAATTAGTAAATAACACTTACTACCCAGGAACAAAACCTCGTGTTATATAGCGTTGTTATTATAATACCCATGCAGAGAGTACCAGCAGCTGCTTGCCCCTAAAGAGTTCCACGTGTCAACAAGGCGCTCGTGCCAGGCTAGGTGCACCTCAAGTCCCCCCCCCCCCTCACACAGGTAAAGGCCTCCCGTAAAGTCCTCACAGACTATTGGGTCAAGTGCCGACAGCGGCGATGTTTCACTCCGCACCGCGGCAGGTGCTAATTGGAGGCCGAGGCGACCTAGGGGGAGCCCAGTCGCGGCTCAGACCAGCGGCGCTCTAACCTCGACACCACAACCAGCAGCCACCACCACGGCCCTCGTGTGCCAGGCTAGGTGCACCCACAAGCACCCCCCCATCTCGCTCACCTCGCCTGACGAGGCCTCGCCGCCCGCCGCTTGCGCCGCACGGTGCCCGTGGACGACACGAAGAAGGCGGAGTCGCCCAACACGCGGTAGTGCTGCTGCTGCGGCTGCGGCTGCTGCTGCTGCTGCTCCTGCTGCTGCTGCGTCTCGCTGCCCCGACTCCCCTCGCCGCTGGCGCGACCGCCGCCTGGGTCCGCGATCCCCGAGTTCGCCGCCGTCGCCACCGCCGCCGTCTCCGCCGCTGTCGCCTCCTCCACGAGAGACGACGCCGAGGAGCCCATTGGAGGCGCCAGGCCACCCAGCAGCCCCCTGCCGCGCTGCTCGCCGCCGCTGCTGCTGCCGCCTCCTACCACGTGACACCAGCAAGGGGGGAGGGGTGATACTGACCCCGCCCCGTTTGCCCGTCCCCCCCCCCGCCCGCCCCCACTGCCCCGTTCGCCCCCCTGCCCCACTCGCCCCCCCGCCCCACTCGCCCCCCCGCCCCACTCGCCCCCCCCCGCCCCGTTCGCCCGCCCCACTCGCCCTCCCCCCCCGCCCTGTTCGCCCGCCCCCCCCGCCCCACTCGCCCCCCCGCCCCACTCGCCCCCCCGCCCCACTCGCCCTCCCCCCCCCGCCCCGTTCGCCCCACTCGCCCCCCCCACTCGCCCCCCCCCCGCCCCGTTCGCCCGCCCCCCCGCCCCACTCCCCCCCCCCCGCCCCGTTCGCCCCACTCGCCCCCCCCCGCCCCGTTCGCCCGCCCCCCCCCCGCCCCACTCGCCCCCCCGCCCCACTCGCCCTCCCCCCCCCGCCCCGTTCGCCCCCCCACTCGCCCCCCCCCCGCCCACCCCCCCCCCCGCCCCGTTCGAAACGTCGTGAGAATTGTATTGTTTTATATTTTTATTATGTTTTTATTTCCCTTCTACGTGACTTTACCGAAAGAACCAAGAATATGAATCTCTGCAGTCACGAAAGCATTACATAAAAAAAGAGTTTGTATCTTAACAGGTACAGCTCACTGAGCTATTCGCTTATTTTTCAGAAGCGATCTGCCCACTAATGACAGCTCAACGAAGTGGCTTTTGTGTAAATGTAAAGTGCCACACATTGGAAAATGAAAAAAGGAAATGTTCCGGTCCATGTGCGGCGACGGTGACTCTGTCTTGCTAACGAACGCGTTGGGAGTCGGTTTGCTCTGACTGTGGTCACAGCCCAGAATAGACCGTGGAACGTATCACGACTCGATGGCCGATTCACATTCAGTCACACGGGAAGGATGTATCGTTGTCTTCATCGCAGCTAAACACTCCGCTAACTCTTGACGCATTCATTTGGCTCAACCACGTTAAAAGTCCAATTGTATCTTTTGTTCTGCACAAGTGTTCTTCATTGCAAGGCCCGCGAGCTACTGCTGGCCCCCGATAAAAAAACACAATGTGAAAACAACACATCGTGCTGCTGTCAAACCCCAATGGTTTCAAGTGTGTGGCGGCCCTCACGCTGATGATGTATTATGAGCGAAAGTGGGACCCCCTCTGGAAATTAGTGAGGAACACCGCTCTACATCCACGCCCGCCAGAGGAAGAGGTCACGTAATTGAAGACGTTAGGATACGTCCTGTGACCAAGTGAATCAGGCCAAAGCCCCTGTAGTTTATTTGTCTAAAGTTGATTTTGTTTAATCAGGCGAGTGAACCTAAGAGACCAGAATCGTCCCATTTGCAAGAGTGATCACACAGAATATTTTTTTAATCAAAATATGTATTTATACTGGAGAAATCCGATGAGCTATGAAGCTCTTTTTCACAGATGTCAAGTCGGGGTGGGTAAGGACATTACAACAAACAGTAAAAAACACGATAGGAGTGAAAAGTACAAGGCAGGTAAACAAATCACCCAAACACAAACAAATACAACACTAAGCCATCCCATCCTACCAGGCAAAGCCCACATCGGTTATTTTTCAAAAGCGACCTGGCCACAAATGATAGCTCAACAAAGTGGCTCATTATTTGGACATTTACAGCAGCAAAATAATATAAATTGTCTAAACGTATATTCTTGGGTTTTTCGGTAAAGTCACATAAATAGGTTCAAAGAAAATAACAAAAAAATTACCAAAAACTACGTTTCGATCGCAGCACAAGTGGTCGTCTTTCCTGAAGTTTTTTGTTATTTTGTATTTTCTTTGAACCTATCTACGTGACTTTACCGAAAAACCCAAGAATATGAATCCCTGCAGTCACGAAAGCTTTTAGTCAATGTATAATAAAAGACTCCGTCAGGCATATTTGCGGAATACACCACGCCGCCGTTGACCCTGGCCATTGACCGAGAAACCCAACGTTCCTACCAGCTCCCTCCGCAGGAACGTGTTGCTGCGATGAGGTCGATGGGTGACACACACCAGTGTCTTGGAGCAATGTCAATGCCAAGGGTGACTGCGGTCACTGCAGTCACCCGGGGGACGAGCCACACGTTGACCTTAAGAGTCTTTGGCTGCAAGAAATTCCCACGTGGTAAGCCACTTCGTCGAGCGAGCATTTGTTAGGCAATTAGCTTTTGAAAGAGAAGCGAAATCGCTCAGTGGGCTTTAGCTGTGGTAATAATTGTTTTTGTTTTATTTGTGTTTTTATTTTTTGTAATTTCTAGATTTGAAGTTTTCGTGACTGCAAGGATCCATGCTCTTGGTTATTTCGGTAAAGTCACGTAGGTAAAGAGAATAAAAATAAAATAAAATATAAAAAATAAATTAATTAATTCACGACGTTTCGGGCGTCCGTCACCAGGCGGGGACAACCACAGCAAGAAACATACTCTTAGTTCTTTCGGTAAAGTCACGTAGGTAAAAAATGAAATTAAAATTTATAAAAATAAAACAATTTTTATTTTATTTTTATTAAAATGAAATAAAAATTAATAAAAATAATTTTATTTTATTTGTATTAATTTTTATTTCATTTTTTACCTAACGTGACTTTACCGAAAGAACTAAGAGTATGAATCCTTGCAGTCACGAAAGCTTCAAATCTAGAACAGCAAGAAACAATTGCAGAGGAAGGGGGAGGAGCCAAGCGGAGTGTAGGGGCGGGGCGTGGGTCAGAGGAGGGTGGCAAGCATCACCCCCGCCCCGCCCCCACACTCCCCGTGGCTCCTCCCCCTTCCTCTGCAATTGTATTGCTGTGGCTGCCTAATGACAGACGCCCGAAACGTCGTGATTTAATTTATTTATTTTTATCTTTTATTTTTATTCTCTTTACCTACGTGACTTTACCCAAAGAACCAAGGGTACTTTTTGTAAGTTATTTACCTTTCTTATGCTTTACACTTCTATCGTTATTTTTTGTTGACTGTTTTAACGCTCTGACCCCGTGCCCCCTACTGGAACTTCTGTGACAAAAGAGCTTTTATAGCTCGTCGGGATCCATCCTCCAGTCATAAAGATTCGGAGCTGGGACTGGTGATGATGCCGTGACACGAGGAGGGGCTGAGCGTTGAGGTTTACAGCCCTTACCGTCTCGTTAACAGCAGAACAACATTTGTGCTCGGTGTCGATAAAGTTAGACAACTCTGGTCACTTTAACCCACACACACTCTCACACACTCTCACACACACTCTCACACACTCTCACACACACTCACACACACTCACACACACACTCTCACACACTCCCACACACACACACTCTCACACACTCTCACACACACTCACACACACACTCTCACACACACTCACACACACACTCTCACACACTCCCACACACTCTCACACACTCTCACACACACTCACACACACACTCACACACACTCTCACACACTCTCACACACACACTCACACACACGCGAGCAAAGTGGGTCTCGTTATATCGGGAGGATACGGTGACATGTGGGAGTGTGTGTGTGGGAGTGTGTGTGAGTGTGTGGGAGTGTGTGTGTGGGAGTGTGTGTGAGTGTGTGGGAGTGTGTGTGTGTGGGAGTGTGTGTGAGTGTGTGGGAGTGTGTGTGTGTGGGAGTGTGTGTGAGTGTGTGGGAGTGTGTGTGAGTGTGTGGGAGTGTGTGTGTGTGGGAGTGTGTGTGAGTGTGTGTGTATGTGGGAGTGTGTCTGGGGGTGTGTGTGGGAGTGTGTGTGTGGGAGTGTGTGTGAGTGTGTGGGAGTGTGAGTGTGTGTGGGAGTGTGTGTCTGGGTGTGTGTGTGGGAGTGTGTGGGGAGCGGTAGTGTAGTGGTCAGCGCGCTGCACTACGAACCTGGCGCCCCGGGTTCGATTCCCGCTCACGGCAAACACCAGTGATGATTATCTGAACCGGTCCTGGGCCTCCCCTAAGTCGACTCAGCCTCAAATGAGTACCTGGTGCGGGGTGTAAACATCGCCACTAGGGAGACAAAGGCGGTCGGGCGTGGTGCTGGCAACCCACCCCCTCGTGTACCGTTCTGGCCTTCATAGGTGCTCGCTAACAGCACTTGCCCCTACAATCTGTGAAGGCTATACGGGGGATCTTTGTTTGTGTCTGGATGTGTGTGTGTGTGGGAGTGTGTGTGTGTGGGAGTGTGTGTGTGTGGGAGTGTGTGTGTGTGGATGTGTGTGTGTGTGTGGATGTGTGTGTGTCTGGATGTGTGTGTGTGTGGTTGTCGGCGTCTCCCGGTCCACTCGTGGTGTCACAGCGCCCTGCAGCGCACGCTGTGTCACGCAGCAACCTCGCACCAGACACCATTCATCTCGTGTCGGCTGCTGCTTCTTCTTGTCGCTGCTGTTCTCTCCCCACCCCCATCGGCACCTGCGATTCGCACGGTTGGCTACGTACGCTACGAAATAAATTCAACACACGCCGTACATACACACATACAAAAACAAAGCTCCCCCGTGTAGCCTTAACAGACTGTCGGGGCAAGTGCTGTTAGCGAGTAGCAGCCCCACACGAGGGGGGTGAGTGGCCAGCACCACGCCCGTCCGCCTTTACTACACACCGCCACAGTTACTCATTTGAGACTGAGTCGACCTAGGGGGGGCCCAGGTACCGGTTGGTGTTGACTGGTGTTGACCGTGAGCGTGAATCGCCAAGTTCATTAGCGCAGCGCGCTAACCACTACACTGCCTACATGCACACACACTCTACATACACACACACTCTACCTACACACACAATATACACACACACTTTCTACACACACACTCAATACACACACACACTCACTCTACACACTCACTCTACACACTATACACACAATACACACATTCCACACAGCCTGCACCCACACACACCCCACACACACACACTCCGCAGCAGCAGCAGCGCCACGCAGGGGCGAGAGAGTGCGAAGTCCACTCGCTGCTTGCCGCTCGGGGCCCCCCTCCACTGCTGCCACCACCACCACCAACCACCAACACCACCACCAACACCACCACAAACACCACCACAAACACCACCAACACCACCACCAACACCTACACCACCACCACCAACAACAGGCGAAGTCGGCGTCCTCTCGTGCTGCTCCGTGCGAACTACGAAGTACGAACGGCGCCTCTCGTGCTGTCCACACACCCTGCTGCTGCTGTTGTTGTTGCTGCTGCTTCTGTTGCTGTTGCTGCTGTTGTTGTTGCTGCTGCTGCTGTTGTTGTTGCTGTTGCTGCTGCTGTTGCTGCTGCTGTTGTTGTGTTTGTTCACGGACCGTCGGGGCAAGTGGCCGTGAGCGAGGTAGCGCGTGTGGAGGCCGGCACCGTGGCGCACACACGAGGGGGTGGCCAGCAACCACGCACGCCTTTGATTCTCACTTGAGGCTGAGTCGACCTAGGGGGAGGCCCAGGTACCGGTTCAAAAAAGTAGTTTCAGTTAACAAAGCTTGCTTCATGGACCTTGATCTTTGCCGTTGTCTAGATCCGAGAAGGGCTGCTGCTTGCAGGACACGTGCAGCGCGATGTCTCAACACGACGAGTGGAGTTCTGCCGCAGCTGCTGATGTGGACACGGACGACTGCTTGCCAAGCTACACGCACCTCTACAGCCCCACGCTGCTGAAGTAACGCTGCTCGTCCAGTCCCACTTCATGCCAATAGCAATGCCTCACCGTTGATCGATCTTCTACAGGTCCACTTTCCTCCAATAATCTGGGCCACAAAGTCCCACTTCATTCCAATAGCAATGCCTCACCGTTGATCGATCTTCTACAGGCCCACTTTCCTCCAATAATCTGGGCCACAAAGTCCCGCTTCATTGCAATAGCAATGCCTCACCGTTGATCGATCTTCTACAGGCCCACTTTCCTCCAATAATCTGGCCCACAAAGTCCCACTTCATTCCAATAGCAATGCCTCACCGTTGATCGATTTTCTACAGGCCTACTTTCCTCCAATAATCTGGGCCACAAAGTCCCGCTTCATTGCAATAGCAATGCCTCACCGTTGATCGATCTTCTACAGGTCCACTTTCCTCCAATAATCTGGGCCACAAAGTCCCGCTTCATTGCAATAGCAATGCCTCACCGTTGATCGATCTTCTACAGGCCTACTTTCCTCCCATAATCTGGGCCACAAAGTCCCACTCCATTCCAATAGCAATGCCTCACCGTTGATCGATCTTCTACAGGCCTACTTTCCTCCAATAATCTGGGCCACAAAGTCCCACTTTATTCCAATAGCAATGCCTCACCGTTGATCGATCTTCTACAGGCCTACTTTCCTCCAGGAATCCGACTCAATGAGTCTCGCTTGTTCCCACGAACGTCACGCCGTGACTTAATTTTCAGGGACAAGGCTGAGAGCGTTGTACATGCACTGTGGTGGTCAGATGGTATGTAAGGCAGGACGGGAGTCACGCGCCGTGCTGCTGTTTGTGAGCTCAAGTTTCCGTGTTGTGTCATCTCCTATTCAGCCCCACTCTTCCATAATCTCACTAGATGAGTCTCACTTTACTCCACTAACATGCCTCACTCTCACGTTATCTTCTGCAGACCCATCCTCCAGTCACCTGGCTCACCACATTTTCACATTTTTGAATGCACTTCCACTGCTTAGTCCTTCTTAACTCAGCCTCATGTACCATGTCAGCCAAGCAGACATGTAACACTTCATCCTAACCACAAAGCAATCGAAGGGCTGAGTCATTTAAAACTCTAATATTTGCTCTTCATTTGACCATATGAAAGAATAGAATGTTACTCACGATTGGATCAATTGTTGCAATCCAGGGTCACGATGTGAGTCAAGAATCATTTCTTTTTCTCTAATTTGTGCTCTTATGTGAATCGTCTGTCTCGTACGTTCAGCCTCATTCCATTAGCCTGAAGGTAACATTTGCATAAACGTGTAATTTGTCTAAATTGCGAACAATCAATTCTCAGCACGCATGATTTGATGTTTGCATAGTGAGTAAAAAAAGTGATGGCGGTCGATGATTCTGTGGCTCATTGTAGGGTTCCTGTGAAAGACAATGCCTTGTTACCTGTGTATGTGTCCTCCAGAGGGAGGGTGGCGTTCATCACTGGGGGAGGTTCTGGAATTGGCTTCCGCATTGCTGAACTCTTCATGAGGTATTTGAACTTCTCGTCTTTACGAGCATATGCAGTTCATTACAATTCTTGTGTCTGCCAGCGTAGAGGATTTGAAATCCATTATTCACACAAGATAATTAGAATCTCAAGATGCAGTACAGTTTGATGCACATCACTGACAAAATTGTGTGTCTGTGTGTGTATATATATAATTACTATTTAAGGGAGAGGCAGTCATGGGCAGAGCATAAAAAGGTCTGGAGCTTGGAATGAACAGGGTCAACATCTCGGGTGGCTGGTTGTAGTGAGTTCAAGACTACAGAAGGGACAACCTTCCACAAAGAAAAACAATGATTTGGAGGTTCGACAAGAGAAAAGGTTTCGTTGCTCGAGTGGAGAGCACTGCAGTGGAGTGGAGTCAGATGAGAGAGAGAAGTAGACAGGGTAGAGTCCATGGACTCGGGGTCTTCACCACAGACTGCAAGTGTTGTGTATGGCAAATAGATGGTTTCACTCAACTGCTTCTCCTGTCATCCTTTCCATTATTGTGCTCAAATATGCAGACATGGCTGTGATACCATTATCGCAAGCCGAAACAAGGAGCGGGTGGAAGAGGTAAGCATGTCTGCCTGTAAGGTGTTTATCTGAGTGACACACGAAGATCACTGTATCATAATCATCCTTCCTTCATTCCAGCATATTATGTCACGTAGCATCGTAAAGTCAAAGTTCATTTGTACATGCGACCATAATATCTACCTCGCCTCTTATCTCCCTCTTATATATCTCACTTTTATCTCATTAACCTTCATCTCTCATCACCAGCTCATCTCTCTTGTTTATCTCGCCTGCTTCTGACCATATCTCTTGCTGGGCCATAGCTCGGCAGGACACTCCCTTTACAAAACACATCTGCCCCGTGGCAGAGGTCGCAAACGGGTTTTGATTCCTTACCCGTACCCGGCCGCACCAGGGTTGCAATCAGGTACCCATACCCTACCCGATACTCGGCCGGGTACGGGTAGCCGGGTATCGGGTAGGGTATGGGTATCGGGAACCCAATTGCGACCTCTGGGATGAAGCCATGTTGCAGGCGCGGGTGGGTTGATTCTAGGAACTTGAATTGTGAGAAGAGACAAGACGTTGGGAAATGAGTGACAAACGGTTACTTACCAGTGACTCATGGCCTTCTGACTCATTGGTTGGGGTGAGTCACGTGCGGCTACCCGTAACGGTACCCGGCCGCACCAGGGTCGCACACAGGTACCCGTACCCGGCCGGGTACGGGTAGCCGGGTATCGGGTAGGGACAGGTATCGGGTAGCCGGGTATCGGGTAGGGACGGGTATCGGGTACCCGGTTGCGACCTCTGCCCCGTGGGCAGCCAGGAGAAGAACCCCGGTGTTGACTGTGCTTGTGAGGCGATTCCTTCCATGTAAGCGGTGCTTGCTCGCTGTCTGTGTGTGCGCGTGTGGTGAAGGCGGCCCGCAAGCTGAGGCAAGCCACTGGCCAGAGCTGCGTGGCCGTGACCCTTGATGTCAGGGATGAGACCTCCATTGAGCGAGCCCTCGACCTCGCCCTGGAGCGCTTCCCCCGCATCCACATCCTCGTCAACAGTGATTTTCTTCTTTTTATCTCCTCCATGGCAAAACATTACATGGGGATTAAAAAATGTGATTTCCAAAGCATTTTTCTGAAAAATATGGCAGCGATATGGAAGTTCTCTCGAATGCCAGCATCAAAGCCGTAGTAGGAGGCATGGCACACGTCCCATGGCGGCATTGTGCAAAATTTGACCCCCAAAAATGTTACCTAGTTCCGCCAATCTGAAACTATTGCATTTGTAATATTGGTGGAGTTTGATTCTTAAATGCTGCTGCCGCTGCAATATTGGTGCTTTAAAATATTGTAAAAATAAATAAAACTACCGCAGAAATCTAACAAATTACTGCAGGAAAGGTGCCTGTGTATGTCCTCTCGTGTTTGCACGAGCAGCTCCTGGCTCCAGTTAGAGGAGGCTTCAAACTCCGACTGTTCCCAGGTGGAAATGCATGCAGGTGAATTCACAAAGTGGAATGCGCTAAAAGTGGATTTTTAATTGGCGCTTGCTCAAATGGAGACCTAGAGACCATTATAGTTCAATTGATGCTACATGGAGACATTGTGAGAAACTGGAATGCGATGATTAGTGGCAGCTCTCGTGGAGACCCATAGAGTCCCATAGAGAGACTCATACTCGCATAGAGACCAACTGAGAAACTGGAAAGCACTGACAGTGGATTCAATATCAGCTATTTCTCCATCAGACGGGTGCACGCAGCCCATGCGGCTTCCTTGGAGAACTGGTCTGGTGTGAGCCCGACATTGGTTAATCACCATCATGCATTTCCTTGCACATTACAACCATCTATTCATCCAACCCGAAGCAGGAGAAGATAAGGTGGGATAGCATTTCCTCACGGACCGCCACTTGTTCTCGTTCAAATTGTGCGCGCGGGCAACTGCAGACGCGGCGGGAAACTTCGTGTGCCCCATGAGCAACCTCACCCCCAAGGGCTTCCGCACAGTCATGGACATCGACACCATGGGCACCTTCAACAGCAGCCTGGCGCTCTATCGACGCTGCTTCAAGGTCAGCCACATCGTGCTGCAAACACACCAGCCGCCTTCCAGTCGGGCTGCCACTTGAACCATTTTTTATACTCGTTTTATTTTTGTTTTATATCAGATAAGGCCCACTCAGCTATATATTGCTCTTTAACAAAAGCCTACCTGGCCACAATTTATAGTTCAATGAAGTTGCTTGTCACGTGCACATTTATAGCAGACAAATACTCTAAACGCTTGTTTCTAAATGTGGAGGGAAAAACCGGAGGACCCGGAGAAAAATCCAAAATATACAGCAGACGCAGGGTCGGGATTGAACCCACGACCTTCTGTATACCAGGCGAGGTAGTTAACATCTCGCCACTGTGAGGCCTTGATGTGGGTTTTACCAGGATTGTGATGTTTGGTGTAGTATCTTGTCCTGGGAAATCTGTAAGTCTACCCAGAACATTCCAGCCAAGTGTATTTTTAATTGCTTTATAATGTCACTCTACAGCCATGCATTCACATGTATTATAGTTCTACCCTCCTACGGTGTTGAGATATTCTTCTTTCCGTGATATATCCCAGTCTTTTTGTACCTCAAAGGTGGCAATCTTGCCTTACAATGATGCCTGCACGCATTATTGTCATTAATTCCTCAGCACTTAAATCCGACATCGGAATGGATTGCCTTTGGATTTTAACTACGTAAGCCTGCGCAATCTATCTGCCCAGCAGCGTTTGAGTGCTGTCTGTAGTCGTGTTAGGATATATTTTTTTTATTCATATTCAATAAAATGTATTCTGCAGAGTGGAGAGATGGTGCCATGGTTATCACACTGTACTATCAATCAAGCTACAATGATAGTTCGATTCCCGGCCACAGCTAACATCAGTGGTAATTTCTGAACCGATTATTTGTCTCCATCCTTCAACCTGCATTGACCACCGTGCTGCAGCAAGGGCATGCGACCATCGTGGCCAATACGGCACGGGGAGAATTTTACCCAGCAGTCGATTGAAAAAAGGGCTGTACCTTTCTGTTACTTAAAATACTTCAGTCTGAAAAGTCTGTCAATGTTTGGTTCTTTCGGTAAAGTCACGTAGGTATAAAATAAAATACACACAAGCGTCCGTCCCACCTGATGACGGATGCTTGTGTTGGGCCCGAAACGTCGTGATTTATTTTATTTTTCTACCAACGTGACTTTACCGAAAGAACCAAAGAGTATGGATTCCTGCAGTCACGAAAGCTTCAAATCAAGTCTGACAAGTCTGTCAATCTTTGTGATTACTTACCCATCCATGTGTTTTTATTTTTTGATAGAAAGCTTTCGTGACTGCAGGGATTCATATTCTTGGTTCTTTCGGTAAAGTCACGTAGAAGGGAAATAATAAAATAATACAAATATAAAACAATACAAATTCTCACGACGTTTCGACTGCAACATAAGCAATCAGCAAGAAAAATTTCTTGCTGTGGATTTCACACCTGATAATGATTGCTTGTGTTGCAGTCGAAACGTCGTGAAAATTAGAATTTTTATATTATTTTATTATTTCCCTTCTACGTGACTTTACCGAAAGAACCAAGAACATGTATTTTTAGTTGCTCATATCATGTATTTGTGTTTATACTGACAATGCACGCGATTTGTTTTTTCTAAATGTAAACAAATATTGCGAACACGATATCGATTTTTCTGGTTTATAATTTTTCTGGTTTAGAACTCTCCATTGTCACGTAAGCATTTAAGACCATGAACTGGATGCCGATAACCAGTGGATGAAGTCCACTGGGCACCAATAAACTGTCACAACTGGGCACGAGAGGCAAAGAGGGCTGACAATGTTTGTCGACTGCAACAACAAACACTCGTATCTTGTTTTGGGAGGTCATGGTTAGAACAGCCCGGCGGTCGCTCATTCCCCACTTGTTTCGAACCTGGCTGGCAGCCCTGGTTATCACTGCTCGTCTATTAACCATCAAATGCACACAGTCTGCAACGCCTGTGGACATTCACGCGATTCACCTCAACGTAATGGCAAGTAGTTTTCAGATTATTTTGCGTACGTCGAATAACTTTTGATTCGGACACATGCGATTCCATGTAATATCATGAGCCTTAAGAATCAATATTAATAAATATAATTGTGAGAATTGAATGTGTGAATTTGTATGTATGCACTGCGCTACGAAGCCGGTGACCCAAGTTCAATTCCCGCTCACGGTTAACATCAGTGATGAATATCTGAACTGGTCTTGGGCCTCTCTTAGGTCGACTCAGCCTTAAAACGAGTACATTGAGCGGCGTGTAAACATGTTGCTGACCACCCACCCCCTTGTTTGCCATGCCGGCCTTAATAGGTGCTCACTAACAACACTTGGCTCAAGAGTCCATTCAAGGCTTCATGGGGGAGTTGGGAAGCACCTTTATCTTTTTGTGTAATCGTGTGCAAGCTCTTGCACGTGTGCCTGTCACCAGGAGCACGGAGGGGTGATTGTGAACATCTCCGCCACCATCAGTTACAGAGGACAGATGCTGCAGGTTCACGCCGGGGCAGCCAAGGCAGCCAACGGTAAGAGAGCCTCTCCACAGCGGCTCCGCCATGACCGTCGCAAAACAACCTCACCCCGGCGATCTCCCAAGACATTCGGCAAAGCGTGCCGTTGTAATTCTGCTTTAATGCCGGCGGCTTTTTACTTGGTTGGTGTCCCCATGAAGTGTGTGGTGGGTGTGAGCGCATGCTTCTATGTATGTATGCACGCAGGGCTACGTTGTGGGCAGCAGAGGGCAGTGAAGGCAAACTCAGTTGCTGTCACTGCACTGTGCGATGCTCCCACGTTGATGCTGTGCCTTCACCAACCCGTACTCGCAAACGCGGTGCAGCACGGCCAAATAATATAACCTGCACAGCTCTCACGGTATGGGGTAGCCCTCATCCAGCGGTGGATTGGCTAGAGGGGCTGTGACATGGACATGGTGTGGTCGGTGTGATTGCATTGACTGTGTCTGTCCGGGCTTGTCTCGCTTGGCGAGCGAGATGCGCTCCGCGAAAATTGCTCGGTTGGCGAACATTTGTTAAAAGGATAGTTTTAACATCGACTCCCGTGTTAACACCTGTCGTGCGCACCGTGACACCTGGACGCATGTCGATCGATCGCTCTCTGCTCGCTAAGCGAACATTTGGCTCGTTTTGGGAACAAATGGATATAAATTCGCATTGCCCGTGATGGCGAATCCGTGTAGAAAGAACTCCTCGCTTAACGAGACTAGGCTGTTTGTGAAAATGTAGTGACGCTTGTGGCCGTGTGACTTTTGTTTAGATGCGATGACAAAGCACATGGCGGTGGAGTGGGGGCCGGACAAGGTGCGCATCAACAGCCTCGCCCCGGGGCCCATTTCAGGCACGGAGGGCATGCGGCGGCTTGGTGAGTGGCTCACGGTGGCGGAGGATTTACACTCCGCAGTGAGCAGTCCTTCGGTCATGTGACCACACTCCACCACGCTCATCAGTGCGGGTTGGTGGGGGCGGCGGAGTTTGGATGTACGCGACAACGACGGATGTTGCTGTACTGCCCCTGGTTTCCGTGTTACGCACGATGATGCAGGGGTGTGGTAACCACCGAGGACAACTTTAAGTTGCACAAAAATTACTCCCGGAATGAATAGCTGTACACAAGACATCGTCAGGTTTTCCTACTTCGTTACACAAAGCACTGCAACGTTTATTTAGTAGTCTGCATCACGAATATTAAAAACATACACACACACACGCAAACAGTACTGTTATCGCCAGCCTAGAGTAAATGCTCTGCACTGACCCAACGCGGCCGTTGTTTTTTGGTTCATCTCTCCAGGCGGTCACCTGAAGGGGCAGAATCCCTTCGCCTCCGTGCCGCTGGGGCGTGCGGGCACCAAAACGGACATGGCACACTGCGCGCTGTTCCTCGCCAGCCCCCTCGCCTCGTACGTCACGGGCTCGACGCTTGTCGCCGATGGCGGCGCCTGGATGACTTCCTCCAACGATTTCAACGCGGTCCGAGCCGGTCTCGTCACCTCCAAGATGTGACCCCCCCCCCCTCTCCTCTTCACCGTCGGTCTCGCCAAAGCATTTTGTGCTGCGACAAATCGCAGGCGGTCGACGCAAACCTCCCAAGTTTCAAACAAAAAGAAACTCGACACACTGGTCAACAACACCGCCTTGAGCGGGTAGAAGGAAAAAAATCGAGAATAGGCGACGTTTCTCGGCAACGACGCTTCTAAACGGCAAAGTGTCGTACACATTTCTTTGTTAATGTCCAAAAAGGCTGGCTGCATTGAGCCAAGACTTTCACTCGGGTTCTTAGTTTGAGTGGAAGGAAACTCTAGTACAGACAGTCCACAGAGATTAGTTGATTAGTTGAGATTCTGCGATATATCGCGGAGCCCTGTGCTGTCCCCGCACCGATTTATCACGGTTGGCTACGTACGGTGCGAAAGAGATTCGACACAAACAAATCTGTTTTTTAAGAATGTTTCTCGGTGAACAATCTTAAATTGATACACGAAGTTACCGATTGTTGAAAGTTGGGCATTGCATTATATTGGAAAGCAAGGGTGGGCGTTGAGATTGACGAGTGGCAGAGTGAGACCAGTGGGTGGAGTCAAGCGGTATCTGCTGCAGGCTGCATGAACACTTTGATAAGGAGGGGGTAGAATTTGCAAGTACAGTACCAATTATGTGTGACAATTGCGCACTTGATAGTCAGTAATGCTCACGATGACGCGGTGAAGGCGCGCGTCTTGAGGTGCTCCGAAATTGTTGATGTGGCAAATTACCGGCCTTTAATAAAAAAGAAAAGTTGAAACTCCTCGAAGTGGTAGTGCCATATTTTTGGTGTCTGGCTGTAAAAACACAAAGCGTGTTTTTTTGTTGTTGTATATTCCACCCATCTACGTGTGCTCACTGCCGTGCGAAAACAACAAAGGGGTCTGCGAACTTCGTGCCCCGCCCTGCACGGTGCTGCGAGCCTGGATTTCTTGGGATGACCGCAGGCAAACCGGCTGCGAGCACGTGCGTGGCGGCGAAGAACAAGACGACCCGCGTCGTCTAGTGCTTTCTTAAATGCGGACGACGTAAGATCCGCTGGATGTCGAGTAGCGTAGCCAGCGTTTGGGGGGCTCCCCCGACAGTGCCGCCCCCCCTCGGCCCCCCAGCGTAGGGCGCAGGCAGCCGATGCGAAGCCCCGACATGGCCAGGCTTGGAAGGTCAAAGGTCAACGCCACGGGGCCCACTTCCAGTCGAGCCGAGGGCCTGAGTCCGGGCACCTCCAACTGGAAAACACACGAAACGGCGCGCGTAACAATGACGCGCGTAACAATGACGCACGGGAACTGGCCAGCTCCAGCACCTCTCTCACATGCGCCGCTGCTAAAGTGAACAGGAGGTGCAAAACCTTAAATATTTGTTAAAAACCCCTGGGGCAAAAATAAATGAAGGTGTTAATTTGCACCGATATGAGTGTTTTATTGATAATGCAATCAAATAAATCCGTGCAGCCCTTTACCAATCGACTGCTGGACGAAGGCGTCTCCAGTGTTAGTCGTGGACGGTCGTTTGACTCAGAATCAGAATATGTATTTATACTGGAGGAATGCAAGGAGCTATAAGCTCTTTTTCACAGATCTCCAGTCGGTCAGTGCAGGTTGGTGAAGGTGCAGTGGCCAGATCCACATCTGATTGGAGTCACCACTGATGTTAGCCATGGCAGGGAATCGAAATTAGATTGCCAAGTCCCAGTGGCGGGCCGTGTATTTTACACTGAGGCCTTCAGTGCTATCCTCCCGCAATGAAACCGCCTTCGAATAACCTCACCATGACACTAGGGCTATAGGCTGTTATCATTAAACGTAACCACCCCATATTCACAATGACAGTAACATTTATCGAGTGGAAGAAAGTGATTTAACACGAGGCTCAACACGTATGAGAGTTACAATACACTAATTGCAGAGACATGAATACATGGTGACTGAAACCATCAAAGATGTACCACTATGACACAGTATGACAGGATGCTGCATCACAAATAGACATCGCATAGCCCAAATCAATGTCATTACCAAAGAAACAAGAATAAACTCACAACAACCAGTCACATTAACTCATACGACCACCAAGCAAGCAAAAATTCCGTAAAACACAATAACACAATCAGGATTCAACAGGCTTCCCCGCAGAAAAAAAACAATCTAAACGTCACGAAATAAAGTTTAAAAAAATCTTAGATGATGCTACATTACGTGCTCGCTAGTTTTACTTCAGTTAGCTAACCGGCCCTCCGATCATGCCACACGAAAAATGCTAACGTAGGCGGCTAGGCCAGCTAGAAGGCTCTGGCGTGTCAAAGAATACGCCCACCATGGCAAACTCGACATCTGATTGGTTAAAGAATCTGACAATCAACAACATCGTCCCCATTTGCTTCAACAGCAGAGGGGATTCACTCGACATTCTGAAGGCCTCAGGGTAGATGTTTAACCCGGAGAGGCGGAGACAGCACAGGTGGAAAATCTGATTGTATAAAAGCTCAAATTTATGAGTTGCACTGGAAGCAGCGCAACTGATGGAGAGAGTAGCAATGAAATGACGTTAATAGACTGCTCTTTGGTTCTTTCGGTAAAGTCGCGTAGAAAGAAAATAAATTAAATAATACGAAAAGATCGGTGGGCGCTGGCAATCCCTGCAGCCCAGCCCGTCAGCAAGTCTTATTTCATACGTACGCGAGAATACATCACTGTAAACCGTAATGCTGCTGCTTCTTTATGTTTGTTCGTGGTACGCACGCGGAAGATGGCGGACAGCTGCGATCCACCGGTGATGCGCGGAACGTTCCACACGACGGAGCTGCTGTCGGGCTCCAACGTCGCCGTCTGGTCTGGACTGCTCACGTCACGTGACAAACTGAGACGCACCAACGCACCGCTGTGATAAATCGACAGCGAAACATGTTTGTGGAGGTGAGGTTTGGTGGCATGTCGAGGTTCGTGAAATTCGCAAACCCACTAGGCTGTAAGGTGGCTGGAAGCTGGCAGCATAGCAAATAGGTGTGTGAACGCATCTATCTGTGGGGATTGCTACCCCCTCGTGTGCGTGGGTTTTTCACTTGTTTGTTTTTTCCCCCCACAATCATTAAAATGGCATTGGCCAAACGACCCAATACGGAAGCCTCCCGCACTAGTCTTGGGACTTGGCAAGGCTTTTCTTGAAAAGTTAATGACGTTAAAACTTACTTGGCTAACTTTTTACTAACACTGCGCATTTAGTGTTGTGCATTTATCATTTTAAATCTTCTTACCTGATCGCGCTTTTTGGAATAGGCAACCGGACCATCATATTTGTAGCATGACTGTGGAAACAAACCACTAACGTCATGAACATCATCATCATAATCACATCCATCATCATACATTGCAGTATTTACAACATTACAACATTATCATCATAAACAACTTCATTATCATACATTGCAGTATTTACAACATTACAACATTATCATCATAAACAACTTCATTATCATACATTGCAGTATTTACAACATTACAACATCATTCAATGCATTATCATATAACATTATTGTACAATGGATGATAATGTTGGATGATAATGTTGTAATACTTCATTATCATATTTTTCGATTTAAAGCTTTCGTGACTGCAGGGATTCATATTCTTGGACCTTTCGGTAAAGTCATGTAGAAGGGAAATAATTAATGATAATGTTGTAAATACTGCAATGCACAGTCCATTGTCAATTCACTGCTAGATGAAGGCATCCACACACCGTGTCAGTGACGGAGATTGTCTGACCATACATCACCACGCCGGTCAGTATTGATTGCTAACAGTGGCATGGCGGGTGGGGGGGTGCTCAGGACCGGTTTAGATATCGCTCGCCACTGATACTGCCCATTGCCGAGAATCAAACTCAGGTTATCCAGTTAAGAGTGCAGTGAGATAACCACTCATCCACCTGTCCACCCACATGCAGAAATAAAATACATACGCAGGATAATAAAGTCCATAACACCTTATGACCGACCGTTTCTATCTATCCCATTTTCTTATCTTAACTACCTCGCCTGGTGTACAGGGGCTCGTGGGTTCAATATCAACCCTGACGTCTGCCTATTTGGAGTTTGCGGTGTCTCTCTCCCCGTGGCCGCTTGGATTTTTCTCCGCATCCTCCTGTTTTTCCCCTCCACGTTTGGAATCAACATCACGCGTTGAGAGTATTTGGCTGCTTTAGATTGCAACGCACGATGATGATGATGAGCCACTTTGCTGAGCTATCATTTATGAGAGCCAGGATCTAACCTGTTCAAATAAAAACTGGTATAGTTATAGTTTAGTAACGAAGCTGTATACCCTACACCTTCCGCTCTCGAACATGTATTGTTAGTTGCTGCGGCGCCATATTATTAACATTCCTTCCCTTTATTAATTCTAACCTTACTCCCTCCCTTTGATACTGCTAATCCTGCATAATGCACGGGCACAATGACTTTAAACCCCTCGCCAAACCTCCTACGCATTTCACAAGTAGTACTAATCGCATATCTGCATTTCCCATAAATATGCTAAATTCATCTTGATATGCAAATTATTTTGTCAAGACGCTCTTCGCCCCTCCAACCCAGCTTAAATAGTCGCTCCAAGCCTGGGGCGTGCCATTCAGACTCTGTCTTCTCGCTGGTCTCCACCTGAAGACGGCTGCTTGCGTTGTGGCCGAAACGTCGTGAGAATTATTTTATTATGTTTTATTTTTATTATTTTATTATTTTCCTTCTACGTGACTTTACCGAAAGAATCAAGAAGATGTATTGTTACCTCATGCAGCGTACAATTGCACGGTATTAAAATGTTCTTTTGAAGAAAAAAAACAATGACTCATCCCATGGCCCACATTTATGCAGTGTGCAGACTTAACGACCTGGTGTGTGTCGATTGACTACAAACCAACTACCCTGCAGAGACACAAAGCAATGACTCAATAGAGAATCAGACGTACATTGGTAAACGAATCAAAGCTCTGTGAATGTTTGAATAAATCGGTGTAGTTTTAGTAAGAGCAAGCGGGCGCTACGGTGAATGGTAAATGTGCCCAAGTCCATTGCCATTTATAATCTACTCTTGCGCTCATGATACACGGCGTCGCGCCACGCGTGTGACTATTGATTGTTGACGATGAATGAAAATTATAAGCAAATGTTACACGTTAATGCCACTGGAAGAAAACGGGAAAGCATGAGACGGACCATGGGACAGATGTTAAAAGTTAGATATAAAAACTAAATAAAAACACAAGGGAACTGTTTCTATGATCTAAATGTGACTTCATCAAACGGAAAATGTATGTGGGAATAACGATTATCTGAACCAGTCCTGGGCCTTCTCTAGGTCGACTCAGCCTCAAATGAATACAGTACCTGGTGCAGTGTGTAAACATCACCACAAAGAAGACAAAGGCGGCCGTGCGTGGTTCTAGCCATCCACCCCCTCGTGTACTGTTCCAGCCTTCATAGGTGCTCACTAACAGCACTTGCCCCAACAGTCTGTTAAGGCTATACAGGGGATCTTCATCTTTGCAGTGGGTAGTCCGGTACGAACCCAGCGACCCGAGTTCGATTCCCACTCACGGCCAACACCATTGACAATGATCTGAACCAGTCGTAGGCCTCTCCTAGGTCGACTCAGCCTCAAATGAGTACCTGGTGTGGTGTGTAAACTTCGCCACTAGGGAGACAAAGGCGGCCGGGCGTGGTGCAAACCACCCACCCCCTCGTGTACCATGCCGGCCTTCATACGTGTTACTCGCTAACAGAACTTTGCATTGGTTAGCACACTGAATCATTAACCAAGTGGAGATTGATGTCTTAGCCAGTGCGGGGCCTTCCCCACTTCATCAACCTGCATTGACCGGCGTGGTGAAGTACGGTCAAACAACCTCCACGACCGACAGAACGCGGGTAGATCTTCATCCAGCAATGGACTGAAAGAGCACTGTAAATGTCTATCGTTAAACGATCACGATAAATTCTACTAAATTCTACCCGTTGACTCAACCGAATTGCAACATTTCAGAGTGGTGGTTAAGCCATTGTGCTTGCGCCTCCGGCGTGTGAATGTATTAGACACTGGTAGAGCACTTCTGCACCAGCCGACAATCCACAGGGCAACTACAAAACATTTGTAACTCATGAAAAAACAATAGGCCTTTTACCCTTAGATACAACTGCTCAATCCGGGCTATTAACGCTCTGATATTTTGCGTCGCCTTTGTGGTGTTCACCTTTTGGCGTTCTCTGGTCTAACATCGGCAGTGAGAAAAGGACATAAAAGAGGCTGTCTCTGGTGTAGGCCAATCAGTTTAAAAGACAATGCACACATTATTATCAAAGCGTGTTTGTTTACATGTTGTACCACAAGCAAGAAGTGTGGTTAATGCAGACTTGTTGCCTTGCGATAGGTGTGTCTATTTGGTGTTTGAACATCTGAACGCCTCCTGTATTATTGCCGGAAAGGTTAAAAGGTTGAAAGCCGAGTATTTTTTTGTCATCATTTCTAACCGAGCCTCTCGCAATGCAAAGCGTGCATGACGCGCGCGTTCGTGTAAGGAACGGCGATGTCCGTGCCACGTCCCGTCATACCTTCTCGGCGAGAGGTCACAACGCAACTTCAAACACACCAACAGCCGACTGCGAACACAAACGGGCAGTCACGGTGAAGGGACCGCATGGGCAGCAGTACACACACAAGCTCAACTTGCATTCGGAGAGCCGAACGAACGGTAACAGAACTGAAGGGCGCTCACTGCCATGGTATGGTCGTGTCGGACAGAAGGACCCCACTGAACAGGAATCCGGCGAATGTCGGTGGCAGGGAGGCGCAGTGGTAACTAACACCTGTGCCGCACGGCACTAAGGACCTGGGTTCAATTCCCGACTCGTGTCCACACTGTGATGGTATGGTGTATCCCACTGAACAAGAATCCTGCGAATATCAGCGACAGGGAGGCGCAGTGGTAACTAACACCTGTGCCGCACGGCACTAAGGACCTGGGTTCTAGATTTTCCTCTTGTTCTGCGTGGATTTCCTCCGTGTTCTCCGACTTCCTTCCATAGCTATGAATAAATGTACACAGTAGCTGGTATCGGCTAAACATCCCGATTCTGAAGAATTACCAGACAATTACTCAATTGGGATCATACACATCAGCAAAGTCGCTCCCTACTGCAACATTTGGCAGTACCCTCCTAAAAAAGTGCTTTAAGACTCAGTGAGACTTTCCCAAGCACACAATCATATTAACAATAGAGTAATTTACACTATGAGACCTCCTTTACCAGTGGTAAAATATAGTAATAGGTTTTTACCCTTTCAACTGGTACAAAATCTGACACCTTTATACAAGGTATCATGTTTGCAATAACCACAACACAAGAAGTCAAACTGCAAAGTGTAAATGCTTACCCGAGCTCTCAATACTCTGATAGCGCGCTGTTTTTGAGTTGTACACCTTTTGGTGTCATCTGGTCCAACACCATGTGAGACTGGGCTCTAAGAAAAGCTGTCTCGGGTGTAGACCAATCAACTTCAAGGACAGTGCATATCATTATCAGAGTTCTTTCTTTTTGTTTGAATTTTCACTGCTTGTGTTGTGGTTATTGCAAACATGATGCCTTGTATAAAGGTGTCAGTTTTTATACCAATTGAAAGGGTAAAACCCTATTATTACAATAGAGTAATTAACAGTGAAACCAATGACAATGCCAGTAAAAGGATGAAGTTTCATGACGGTGACGATGATGATGATGGGCAGGGACGTACCTCCTTTCAGGTTGCACTTCCACTGTTGGGAACAGCCTGAAAGGCAGCGGCGTTGGGAAGTCGTCAAGCACCGTGTACTGCATCACGGTCATCTGCGGTCACACAGCGATGGCTCGACCTAAGGCACCTTGAAATCATCTCGATTGAAAACTCTTTTCTTGAGAACTGCTGTTTGTGCGTTAGTTTGTTGTTCTCGCCCCCCGCCCGCCGCACCTCCGATTAGCACGGTTGGCTACGTACGGTGGGGAAGAAGGTCAACATGCGTATGCACAATGACAAACGCCCTCACCGTGCTCAGAAGGCTTCATGGCCTTGTGGCAATGCATCTCGTGAGCCGATCTCGTCTCTAGTGCATCCCCCATGCTTTCTCCGCTCCACAACAACCTCCCTTCTTTCTTCTTCCTAAAGTCTGGAAGAACCTTGCCGTGTGGCCATAGTCACAACCTTGCACTTGTGTTTACTTTAGTTAGACGTTACATAGACGTTGTTGCTTATTATGTACGTGAAATCCTCCTGTTGAATTTCCCTCTGTTTTGTCTTTAGAGCTATAATGAATAATGATGACGTACAGCCCTTTGTCAATCCACTACAAGGTGAAGGCCTCACAACGCTGTGCTGATTGCGGGGATTGGTTGACCATACCTCACCACGCTAGTCAGCGCGGGTTGGGGAGGAAGAGTCAAGTTCAGATGTCACTTGCTACCGATGATTAGCCATGGCCGTGAATCAAAGATAAGCACGATTGTTGTTGTCTCCGTGTCTTATTCTCTCACTCTCCCTTATGTTATCTAACCCGAGCATTACTGTCGCGGCATCGAGAGATGAGACTTTACACTGTCACGTGAAATGTAACCAAATTTCGATTTAAAGCTTTCATGACTGCAGGGATTCATCTTCTTGGTTCTTTCGGTAAAGTCACTTCCCTTCTACGTGACTTTACCGAAAGAACCAAGAAGATGTAACCAAATTGTTTTGGCGAGGTCGTGAGGTTGGTTTAGAATTAACCAAACGGCAGAAGTCGCCGCAATCCACGGCAAATGCGCCGACTGCCAAAGAGGCGAGGCTGCGTTGAGTGCATGACGATGCACTCGCGCAGCCTCGCCTCTGGGGAGGGGCGAGATGGCACGCGCCTGTGATCCCAGCACTCTGAAAGCAAGGGGTTTGTCGGCCGTAGAGATTTTGCGAAACTCACAAACACCCCCCTGGGCGGCATGCAAGTTCGTGAACCTTTGAGTACCGTCTCCTCGAATGCGTGAGTCTTCTCTGGGTACTCCGGTTTTACTCCCACTCACTTCCATTGTGGGACCGTTGTGATCAAAGAGTATCGAAAATCGTGGATAAAAAAATAACGTTTTGAGGTGCGTGTTTGCATACGTAATCACGCGAGCATTACCTCACCAGGGCCCGGGCTCACTCTGATCGCACGTTTGGTCTCAAAGTCAGTCACGTTCACGTTGGCGTGGAAGCGGCACTCGTCCAATCGCACGGCACCGCCGTAGCCTGGACACAGAGAGAGAGGTGCAAGGCAGATGCAGCATCTGTCGCGTGTATTCATTACTGCCGGAGCGAGCCCAAGGACGTATGTATGCATGTTGAATTTCTTTCGCACTGTACGGAGCCAACTGTGCTCATCGGAGGTGCGGGAGAAGGACAACAAACACAAAAATCAGTTCTAAACAAATGAGTTTTCAATCTAGATGATGATTTAAAAGTGCCCAGCTGCAGTGGCTTCCTAATATCGGAAGGAAGATCGTTCCAGGCAGCCACAGAAGCGCATCTGAAAGCGCCGCGAGATCTGGTGACCGTCTTTGTTCGATGGCCAGCAAAAAGCCGCTGCTGCGAGGATGACCGGAGTTCGCGTGATGGTGGTTTACGCTCCTTGACGAGATCAGCGAGGGACTGATTCATTCGCTTTCATTCCACACACCACAAGCCCGGTCACACTCGCACACCTCTCACCTCTATTCTGTGATGATCCTATGGCAAGATCATGGTTGAACGTCATGAAGATTTCTGAAAACACAGCAAAGCCACGTGACAAAACACACACAATGCATACTTGTTTCATCTTAATTTGAATCAGAGTCCTCATTGAACTCAAGATAGAGATCGTGCGTGTACGTGTGTTCCATGTGACGTATAGGGCGCTGTGACTCACATCTGCCAGTCATCTCACTCAACTCATACCACCTGCGTCTGTCCTGTAACTTAATGCCAGTGAGCCATCCATACTTCACGTGGTCTGAAAGTGTACTTAGCCTGGCACAAGTGCCATGGTGACATCACCGTCACTCAGCGGCGAATGGCAACTGCTGTTGTTGTGTGCGCGTGCGTCCCGCGTGACGCAGAGAGCACCGATTCAAATAAAGATCCGAGCGCTCCCGACATCGCGTAAGACACGTTCACAAACTATCGGCGCGTGCAGCATGCAATTATTTTATTTGTATATTTGTATTTGGAACGGAGAAGACTCATGAAGGCAGAAAGGCAGGCCGAGGTGAGTCGCGAGGGCCGGAGTTTGCGAAACCCCGTGGGACCCCTACAGGAGCCCCGCACACGACTTGCGTGGTGCGTGAAAGGGGGGGGGGGGGTGCCCTCCGCCCTTGACGTCATCAGGCAGTGGGAGCCCCTCGAAAACCACAAGGGGCCACCTGGAGCCCCCCGCGTCATCGTTCGAGCCACCCGGTGTGCGTTCGGTACCTGAACAGCCGTTCACGAAGCTCTTCAAATTGATATCGCCATTGAGCTCCGCTTGAACCACATTCCCCTGTTCGGGACACAAAAACTGCATCACTCAGAAACACGAAGGCAAAGCGTTTGTACAAAATGGCGAGCTCGAACCAGATGGCGAGGGTGGCTGCAGCAATGTCTATTCCGACGTCTGACCATGCACATACGTGTGCATACGGCTGTGTTCACATACGTGTGCGTGTGTATGCTCGCATACAATCGTGTGTGTGTGTTGGTACGCACATTTGCCCCGATGAGCACTGTTAGCCTCTCCAAAACGTCCACGAATATCTCGTTGGTTTTGCTCTGAACACAAAAGCGGAGAACATTCATTCCCCAACTGCAATGAGTCAACAATTTCGATCGCCGGGTTGAGTTCATTTGTGAAAGTAAATGCAGATAGCTCTTCGTGTAGCTAGGATGCTGGGAAATGTCAACGGCAAATCAATGTGCATGCCTGTAACTCAGTGCTCTGTCAGAATGGCCATTGAATCACTTCTGTATTGGCCATAACAGAACACGGAGCCAAAAAAAATGTTGGATGTTGCATTCCACAACTGTCAGCTGATATTTCCACCACTTGACTCACACAAACTTGTGAGGCTGTCGCAAGGCATAAACAATAATCCAATAATCTGCCACTCTTCAGCCAGCCTACAGGCACAAGTGGCGGTGGCATGACCTTACGGGAGTGCATTCGCCGCTTGTTGCAGAGGCTCATAGTTCGAATCCAGCGGCCTCCCTGGTTCATACTGCGGCGTGGTATTCCGCTTAAAAATATGCGACAGGCCGCCCGCTTCACAGTCGACGTTAAAGATCCCGTGACATCATTGACAAGAGTCGGCCGCTGTGTGTCGGCTTCATCGTCCAAATTTGTCACATTTTGAAAACTTGCCCTGAAAATGACTCAACAGGGGGATTATGCGTAGCAACCATCGCCCTGCATTGCAAAAAACGTGGCAGGACCCTCCTGTAAAAGAGTCGTGAAACTCAGAGAGGCTCTCCTGGGTAAAGAGCATAAACTGCCACCGTGGTACAAGAACTCTGGCCGTGTTGTGACACGCAGTGCACTGTGGGACTCTTCAATGTTCAACACATGCACTTGGGGGTTGTCCAGCCGGCGGTCGTGTTTTAAACAACACAACTTCATTTTCTATACTGCAGCGATGTGTCCGTCCATTGCTGGATGCAGGCATTCACACACCATGTCGAACTTGGGGGTTGTTTGACCGTACTTTACCACGCGAGCAAAAAAAACCACTCAACACATTCCATCAACAAGACCGCCTTAATAATAAAAATATATAACACGTGACGTTTTGGGCAATCTTCATAGCACATAGATGACCATACTATACCACACTAGCTTAGTGGGGGCCCAGGACAGGTTCCAGGTTTAAATATTACTCACCGCTGGTGTTAGCTGTTATCGGGAATCAAACTTAAAAGAGTTCTTCGGATTCATACTGCAATGCACTAACCCCAGTGTTCTTCACTAATTTTCGTGGCGGGGGGGAGGGGCACTTTCGCCGATAAGACATCGTCAGTGTGAGGGCTGACACACCGCCGACAAGGGGGTGTTTTCACATGTTGTGTATTGTCAGGGGGCCGCCATGAACAACACTGCACTAACCGACGCACGACCACGCGACCAATGTCCTCTTGTTATGGAAACACATTTCACGTGGGAAACCGGCACGCAATGGTACGCGCACAAAAAAACACGCAGTTTCTCTCGGATGATGTACCTGATGAGACAGTGAGCGTATCGAAGCTGATGCCGGGACCAAGGTTTTTTGTTGTGTGTCTGCTCCAAACTACAAAGACAAAGAGAGACACACAAAAATGATAAAGATTACCCGTATAAGCCACACAGAGTCGTGCAACAAGTGCTGCTAAAGAGCACTGAACGCATTCCTGCGGAGGGAGCTGGTAGGAACGTTGGGTTGCTCGGTCAATGGCCAGGGTCAACGGCGGCGTGGTGTATTCCGCAAATATGCCCGACTGTGAGGGCGGGCATAAGCCGGCGTGAGTAGGTTAAACGTTGAGTTTTATAAGGGCACCACGGGGTGACCAGCCCCTCCCCACCCAGCCCCACCCCTCCCACCTCCCACCCAGCCCCACCCTCCCCACCCAGACCCTCTCCACCCTCCCCTCCCCACCCAGCCCCACCCTCCCCACCCAGCCCCTCCCCACCCTCCCCTCCCCACCCAGCCCCTCCCTCCCCACCCAGCCCCTCCCTGCACGACGGACGGACACAATAATCCCCTGTGGGCTGGTGTAACCAGGAGGTTCCTACCAGTATTATAGAGTCATGTGATGCTGGTGGTGGTGTGAGCCACTTTACAACCTGGCCAGCTTTGTCTCCCAAGCAAGCATTGATGTTTACACACCACACTACTCATTTAAGGCTGGGTTGGCCTAGGGGAGGCCCAAGAGAGGTTCCGATAAACCTGCCCCTGATGTTAACCATGGCCGAATATACACAATTAATGTGTTATTCGAATTACAATCCTTCGAAATGCAATGCGGCGCGTGTGTGGACACATGTACACGTGTGTGTGTGTGTACCAGTCCGATGGCACTCATGTCAAACAAGGCTGCTGGGTTGGGTGTTGACGGCTTCGCTCTGCACGTAGTTCCTCAGGACGTCCAAACGTGTAGTCTGTACCACTCCAAAGTCCTTCAACAAGAGGCAAAAGCCACAGCGTTAGCGACACGTCACAGCCACTCGTCTCCTAAGTCGCTACTGAAAGATAATTAATTGAGCTCTGGTGCGAGTCCAAAAAACTCCATCCCATTTTGCTGTCAGCCACTACCGGACAGAAAAATTGTAGCTGTAAGAGATAGAGTGTTGCCCCTTCGCACACGCACAGGTTTTCTCTTATGACGTATCGGTTTCCTCCCACGTGTTGACACTCATTAACTGGCCGAAGCACCTTAACTAATAAAACCCAAAAAGCTTTGGAGGAGAATTTGGCACCGGTTAACCATGCGGCTGCCTTTCCTGCCTGTCTCACTAAAACAAGGGTGGAACGTGGCACAACGGTTTGCGTGCTTGACTATGAACTCAACGACCCGAGTTGGATATCCAGCAATGGCTAACATGAGTGGTGAGCGATATCCGAACAAATCCTGGGCACTGACCAGCGTGGTCAAGTCTTTTCAAACAAACCAACACTGCGTGGGGAGGCCTTCATCTAGCAGTGGACTGACAAAGCACTGTAAATGGATATAATACAACTCTAAAGCTGTTCTGTACTTTTTTCACAGAACAATTATTGCCGTAAATTATTTTCACAATTTCTATGGCAATCACAGTTTTAATTTTGACACTTACCAGGATTTCTTCTAGAAGCTCATACAATAGTGGTAGGTTCTTCCTGATGGCCTCTTCAGAAACAGATCCACAGTAGTCTTTGACTATTGCAGCAAACCTACACACGAACAAAGGAGGTCACTGCATCGCGCACTTTCAGATGCGCTTCTGCGGCCGTCTGGAACGCTCGTCCTTCCGATATTAGGATGCCACTGGAGCTTTGCCCTTTTAAATACAGATTAAAAACTAATTTTTTTAGAACTGCCTGTTGTGTTGAATTTGTTGTCCTTCCCTAACACCTACGTTTTTTCAAGGTTGGCTACGTACGGTGCGAAAGAAGTTCAACATACATACAAAACTCTTTTTTTATCTCCATTGTCAGGTCAAACATATAAAATACTGTTTTGAAGCTTTCGTGACTGCAGAAATCCATACTCTTTGGTTCTTTCGGTAAAGTCAGGACGATTGCTTGTGTGGCGATCGAAACGTCGTGATCTATTATTTTTTCTGCCTACGTGACTTTACCGTAACAACCAAAGAGTATATTAAAAGACTGTTTTGGAAGCACCCATGGGTACATGACGCTAACACCATGTTAAATACCTGAGCTGACACACAGCTAAGATCCAGTGTTCAAATCTAGGTTTCAGCCACACGCAATGAACCCGGAGTTGTCAAGTGTTGAGAGCTGATGGTTTCAGCCTTGTCACCAATGACTCGCAGAGAGACTTGTAGCTTTATAAGAAGGTGCATACACTCAAAGATTTCCTGAAGTACTCCTGTTATGTCATCTTCTTGGGAAGCTCTCTGCTCACAATCCATGCGTTCAATACTTTATTTAAGATACAAGCCAACTGTATGTAAATTATCTTAACCATCGGGCTAATGAAACAATCAACACAATACAAGCCAGAAAGTAAAAACAAGACAAAACGGAAGGGATTTTTCAATTCGCGCTGTGAACCGTGGATCGATAGAACTAATTGAATCGCATGTGGGTGTGAATCATTGCGCGTGCTGTGTGTACGTACCGGTTAAGGAATTGTATCAGAATAAATGGGGAGGCCTGGGGCTTGCAGGTTAAACCAAAGTAAAGTCCGTTATGCCGTGTGTGCACGTAGCACAGCCCATTATGTACCTGAAAAAGAATTACAGGAAAATGAATCACACACATATTCATGTAAATGATCACACTCTATCAGAATCGTGTCAATTCGGATACACTCATAGAGCAGTGCATTGCCCAGTATTAGAGAACAGCCCACGGAAGGTGATATCATGGATCTACATCCAAGATCCATCCAATTGCCTGTTTCAATCCTCACACTACAGCGATGCAGTTTCCCACTTGCCCCGCTACAGAGAAACGTCCGTCACTCACATGGTCGTCAATCCGACAGCCGGAGCCAGGAAACAGCAGAACAACAATTGGACTGTGACCTGATCTGGGCCTCATCCCAAGTGCAAAACACTCCGGAAAATGGAATTGGCAACAGCAAATACTTTAATAGGACCATTTGAAAAAACGTACTCAGTGAGGCTTTAACTGGATAAATGACTGTACATTACAATCTCGGGAACTATCGACAAGGCTGCAGGCAGAGGAAGAATCACCCCCAAGAGCGCATTCACCATGCAGATGGAGCAATGAAATGTGGCACTGCAAAGACCATGAGGGACGTTGACAGCCTGGTAAGGGCTTCATCCAGCAGTCGGTCGATCGTGGTTGATGATGTGTGGTAAGTTGAACTTCTTTCGCTCCGTATGCATCCGACCGCGCTAATCGGAGGTTATTCCAGGACAGTATTAGACTTGATGAGTATCAAGGGATGTTGCGGGTGTAGCCATTACCTTAACGATGGGCTGCTCGCTCTCGTTCAGAGGGCACATTCTCTCGTACAAATTATCCGCGTGTCCATTACCTACATCTGTCAAGCACGTGGTTAAGGAAACTTAAAAACTCATCGTGATCATCAACCATCACATTTACACGGAACACAATTCTTGAAAAGAAGCTTCGTTTCTGGCATTGTCATGGGTCGTTGTACATTCACGAACGCCCTAAACAACACTGCAAACATGCGATGAACACACGCACATATTGCACAGATTCACTTCTCAAAATAATTCTCAAGTAAAAATCATCTTCGCTATGTTGGTGGATGGAGATGTCAGTGGATGTCTGCCAAAATAAAATAAAACATTCAGAGCGATACCTCAAAAAGTAAAGCCTCCCTGCCTTTTTTTGTCCTAATTACTTTTGAATGTAATGAACTGGTACAGCTTTTTTTCTCCAATGCCCATTCATGACAACGCCATGAAATGTTTTTCACATGACAGGAGGCGACACAAGGGAGCTTAAAAAACATCAGTGGCCATGGAACAGTTCGGGTGAACTGGACTGTGCTTTCTGCCCCATCAATCATACAACTCCAGATCTGGCTCCTTCAAACATTCATCTGCTCGGCCCTTACTCTTTTCTTTTCGGTAATGTCACGTAACTTTACCGAAAGAACCAAAGAGTATGGATTCCTGCAGTCACAAAAGCTTCAAATCAAGATTGCTCGGCCCTTCCTTTGAACGCTGGCCCTACGCGGGCAACTTTTTAAAATTGGGCACATCTGGATCAAAAGTCTGAAGGGATCCAAAGGCTGTTTTGACACATTCAGTTTAATCCCGTTGGACAAACAAGGCAGTAGAAATCTTGGAATCAGCTGAACAAGCCACGTTATGTGTGGTGCACGTGACCACGTGGAAGTCATGTGGGACAAAAGTCGATCTCAATGGATACAAATTAAATATGAATAGTAATATGTTTTAACCCTTTCAACTGGTACAAAAACCGACACCTTTATACGAGGCATCATGTTTGCAATAACCACAACACAAGCAGTCAAAATACACTGAGTTATACGCCTTTTGGCGTCATCTGGGCCAACACCAGTGGAGACTGGACAAGACTACGGGGTAAACCGTCGGTATTGACGGTGATGCGAACACAAGTGACCGAGGTCGTGACATACAGTACAGCGAACACGTGTGTATACTGTACACACACGCGTGTATATACTGTACACACACGCGCGTATATACTGTACACACACGCGCGCGTGTATACTGTACACACGCGCGCGTGTGTATACTGTACATAGCACTGTACCCCATGTACAGTACACATTGCGCACTGTACATTACACTTCCGCTTGGCACGGCTGGCTACGTACGGTGCGAAAGAAGTTCAACGTACATAGCACGAGCCGCGTTTAACACACATCGCACAGACAGCACCCACAGCAACAACAACAGTGGCGGTGACGTCACCACGGCGCTTGTGCCAGGCTAGGTGCACGTTGAGGCCACGTGAAGTGTGAACCACGTCACACTGTATTCAGCACACACACACACGGTACACATCTCACACACGATGTACACATCTCACACACGATGTACACATCTCACACACGATGTACACATGTAACATCGCAACATAAACAGTAACATCGAAGGCGAAACACCCAAAGCGAAACGCCCCGTAGATGGAGAGAGCCGATAGCATCGATAGCTGCTGTGGCCAATGATGGTGTTAGTGACAGCGGTAATGATATTGATGATATTGATATTGTGATGATGGTGGTGATGATATTGTGATGATGGTGGTGATGATATTGTGATGATGATGGTGATGAGGAGGATACAGTCCCTGTAGAGTAGAGTGTCTCCCCTGGACGACAGCACAAACGCCTGGGACAGCATCGCCAGTGGCTGCTGTCTGTGTAGTTGTGTGAGCGATGTGTGTGTGTGCGTGTAGCTGTGTGTGTAGTGTGTGTGTGAGCTGTGTGTGTAGCTGTGTGTGCGTGTAGCTGTGTGTGAGCTGTGTGTGTGTGAGCTGTGTGTGTGAGCTGTGTGTGTAGCTGTGTGTGCGTGTAGCTGTGTGTGAGCTGTGTGTGTGTGAGCTGTGTGTATAGCTGTGTGTGTGTGAGCTGTGTGTGTGTAGTTGTGTGTGTGTGTAGCTGTGTGTGTGTGTAGCTGTGTGTGCGTGTAGCTGTGTGTGCGTGTATCTGTGTGTGTGAGCTGTGTGTGTGTGAGCTGTGTGTGTGTAGTTGTGTGTGTGTAGCTGTGTGTGTAGCTGTGTGTGAGCTGTGTGTGTGTAGCTGTGTGTGAGCTGTGTGTGTGTAGCTGTGTGTGTGAGCTGTGTGTGTGTATAGTTGTGTGTGTGTGTGTAGCTGTGTGTGTGTATAGCTGTGTGTGTGCGTGTAGCTGTGTGTGTAGTGTGTGTGTGAGCTGTGTGTAGTTGTGTGTGTGTGTAGTGTGTGTGTGAGCTGAGTGTGTGTGAGCTGTGTGTGTAGCTGTGTGTGAGCTGTGTGTAGCTGTGTGTGAGCTGTGTGTGTGTGAGCTGTGTGTGTGTGAGCTGAGTGTGTGTGAGCTGTGTGTGTAGCTGTGTGTGTGTGAGCTGTGTGTGTGTGAGCTGTGTGTGTGTAGTTGTGTGTGTAGCTGTGTGTGTGTGTAGCTGTGTGTGTGTGTAGCTGTGTGTGCGTGTAGCTGTGTGTGCGTGTAGCTGTGTGTGCGTGTAGCTGTGTGTGCGTGTAGCTGTGTGTGCGTGTAGCTGTGTGTGCGTGTAGCTGTGTGTGCGTGTAGCTGTGTGTGTGAGCTGTGTGTGTGTGAGCTGTGTGTGTAGTTGTGTGTGTGTAGCTGTGTGTGAGCTGTGTGTGTGTAGCTGTGTGTGTGAGCTGTGTGTGTGTAGCTGTGTGTGTGTATAGTTGTGTGTGTGTGTGTAGCTGTGTGTGTGTTTGTAGCTGTGTGTGTAGCTGTGTGTGTGTGTAGCTGTGTGTGTGTGTAGCTGTGTGTGTGTTTGTAGCTGTGTGTGTGTAGCTGTGTGTGTGTATAGCTGTGTGTGTGTGTAGTTGTGTGTGTGTGTAGCTGTGTGTAGTTGTGTGTGTGTAGCTGTGTGTGTAGTTGTGTGTGTGTAGCTGTGTGTGAGCTGTGTGTGTGTAGCTGTGTGTGTGTAGTTATGTGTGTGTAGCTGTGTGTGTGTATAGCTGTGTGTGTGTGTAGTTGTGTTTGTGTGTAGCTGTGTGTGTAGTTGTGTGTGTGTAGGTGGGGAGTTTTATAAGGGCACCACGGGGTGACCAGCCCCTCCCCACCCAGCCCCAACCCAGCCCCTCCCTCCCCACCCAGCCCCACCCCTCCCACCCCCAACCCAGCCCCTCCCTCCCCACCCAGCCCCACCCCTCCCACCCCCAACCCAGCCCCTCCCTCCCCACCCAGCCCCACCCTCCCCACCCAGCCCCACCCCTCCCACCCCCAACCCAGCCCCTCCCTCCCCACCCAGCCCCACCCTCCCCACCCAGCCCCACCCCTCCCACCCCCAACCCAGCCCCTCCCTCCCCACCCAGCCCCACCCTCCCCACCCAGCCCCACCCCTCCCACCCCCAACCCAGCCCCTCCCTCCCCACCCAGCCCCTCCCTCCCCACCCAGCCCCACCCCTCCCACCCCCAACCCAGCCCCTCCCTCCCCACCCAGCCCCACCCTCCCCACCCAGCCCCACCCCTCCCACCCCCAACCCAGCCCCTCCCTCCCCACCCAGCCCCACCCTCCCCACCCAGCCCCTCCTTGCACGACGGACGGACGGACACAATAATCCCCTGTGGGCTGGTGTAACCAGAAGGTTCCTCCCAGTATCAGAGCCTGTGTTTGCATGTTCATCGCAACTACTGTGTGTGCTTAATGCAGTACTTGTGTGTGCTTAATGCAGTACTTGTGTGTGCTTAATGCAGTACTTGTGTGTGCTTAATGCAGTACTTGATCCCCCCTGCAAAAGGTTTCTATTTGGTGTTTGATCATCTCAACACCTCCAGTTTTAGTTGCCAGACAGGGTAACATCGATTCTTATTATGTGTCCATACTCTGCTACTGTCAGCAACAACATTGCTTTTATGGCTTTATTTTGGTGATTTCGAAAACATGTTTTTGTTTGGCCATGTTTGTTTGTTGTAGTGCGGAGTTATACTGATGGCTTTAATCTAAGTTGTCTTGTGGTTGTTGTTGTTTGACTTGCATCCCACTGGGATTTTTGTACACAGCGTTGGTGTACGGTGCTTTTTCTGGAATATTTAGCAGTTTTTTCCTGGATTTTTCTGTTTGCACTTAGTCACTTTAAGATGTTTTCTTGTTCATATTTTTTGTTTGTTGCGGTTGCACCTGATTCAAGAGTCGAATGGCTCACAGGGCTATACCATTATAGATTTGAAGTTTTCGTGACTGCAGGGATCCATACTCTTTGGTTCTTTCGGTAAAGTCACGTAGGTAGAAAATGAATTAAATTAAATCACGACGTTTCGGACGCAACACAAGCGTCCTTCATCAGGTGGGACAACCACAGCAAGAAACAACTGCAGCAGTGGGCAAAGGGGAGCTGATGTAACACGAGGCTGTATAAGAGAGGGGGGGAGAAGCCAGAGTATAGGGCTATAGCAAATAAATGAAACTGAAACAATAACAAAAACTACAACAAAAACTACAATAACAACAATAACAACACCAACAATACCAACAACAATAACAATACCAACAATACCAACAACAATAACAACGATAACAACAATAACAAAAAAATAACAATAACAACAATAACAACACTAACAACACTAGCAACAACAATAACAACAATAACCACAACAATAACAACACTAACAACAATAACCACAACAACAATAACAACAACACTAGCAACAACAACAATAACAACAACAATAACAATAACAACAGCAATAACAACAACAGCAACAACAACAGCAATAACAACAACAATAACAATAACAACAGCAACAACAATAACAACAACAATAACAACAGCAATAACAACAGCAATAACAACAACAGCAACAACAACAACAATGCCGGCGTGAGGGGGGCGGGGCGATGTTTGTGTCACCGCCGGGCGGCTCGAGTCGCACCGGTGACGTCACCGGAAGCGGAAATAGATTCTCCCCTTCGATACCGATAATCGAACGTCGATTCCGCTATCGATTATTATCGATTCCCACGTCTCTCTTTTTTTTACTGCGCGCGACTGGCGAGCTCGCGTTTATGCTTCGAGTAGAGTTTGATCGTTGGGCGGTGCCCATTTAGCTCCGAGAGAAAGATTATTTTAAAATAACAAAATTATAAATCAGCATTCGGAGAATCGATTCACTTGCGGAATCGATTGCCCTCCACCCACTAACGATAGGCTTCGAGTCTGTGTGTGGCGGGTGCAGTGTTCACGCGAACCCGGCGGCCTCAACCCACGTTCCCGATCTTCGCAACGCACGCACCCTGGAGTTTACTACAAGATTGTCCACGGGGCTTTGAGAGCGATCGCGCCGCAAACTAAAAAAATCGGTCGATTCTACGCCGAACCTTTAAAGTGCAAAAGAATCGATTCCGGAATCGCAGTTGCGAATCGACGTGCAGGGGAATCGCGCTACACCTACTGTACACGGGAGGAGCCTCGCAGGGAGCGAGCGACTCGAGCTGCCTGACGAGACGGGTAACGAGACGGGTAACCTGATGGGTAACCTGATGGGTAACGAGACGGGTAACCTGATGGGTAACCTGATGGGTAACGAGACGGGTAACGAGACGGGTAACCTGATGGGTAACCTGACTAACGAGACGGGTAACCTGATGGGTAACCTGATGGGTAACGAGACGGGTAACCTGATGGGTAACCTGACTAACGAGACGGGTAACCTGATGGGTAACCTGACTAACGAGACGGGTAACCTGACGAGAAGCCTGACGGGTAACGAGACGGGTAACCTGGCGGGTAACCTGACGGGTAACGAGACGGGTAACCTGACGAGAATGGTAACCTGCCGAGAATGGTAACGTATCTGCATAGTCACTCAAACGGGGGGGGGGGGGGGGTAACGAGACGTGTGACCTGTCCTGGGTAGCGAGACTGGGAGAACACGCCTGGGTCTGTGTGTGTGTGTTTGTGTCTGTGTGTGTGTGTGTGTGTCTGTGTGTGTCTGTATGTGTGTGTCTGTGTGTGCCTGTGTGTGTGTGCCTGTGTGTCTGTGTGTGCCTGTGTGTGTCTGTGTGTGTGTGTCTGTGTGTGTGTGTGCCTGTGTGTGTGTGTCTGTGTGTGCCTGTGTGTGTGTATGCCTGTGTGTGTGTCTGTGTGTGCCTGTGTGTGTGTGTGCCTGTGTCTGTGTGTGTGTGTCTCTGTGTGTGTGTGTGTGTCTGTGTGTGTCTGTGTGTGTCTCTGTGTGTGCCTGTGTCTGTGTGTGTGTCTGTGTGTGTCTGTGTGTGTCTCTGTGTGTGTCTGTGTCTCCATGTCGTCCTGTACCCTCCTTGCTTCTCGTGTCCCCCCAGTGTCTCCTCGTCTCCCTTGTGCTCCCCACCGCCCCCGCTGTGCGTGTTGTGTATCCCGTGTGGCCATGCCTCACGTCTCTCCGTGTCCCCCGTGTTACCTTCATATCGTGTGATACCCCCCTCCATGCTCCCCTTATCTCGTGTGCACATCGTGTCTAACGAGCCCCCCTCCCCTCGTGTCCCCCGTGTGTCTCTCCTGGAAGTTGTGGCGCCTGAGGACACAGCAGCGGATCCCCTATCCAGAGCAGCAGCGAGGAATCGGTAGGAGCAGCAGCAGCGTGTTGGGATCGGGATCAGGTGAGTTGAGGATGTCAGGATAAGGTTGGTGGGGGTGAGGTTGGGATGTGGTCAGGGTGAGGTTAGGATGTGGTTGGGGTGAGGTTGGGATGAGGTGTGGTGAGGGTGGGGTGTAGTGAGGGTGAGGTTGGGATGTGGTGAGGGTGAGGTTAGGATGAGGTGAGGGTGAGGTTGGGATGAGGTGAGGCTGGGATGAGGTGAGGGTGAGGTTGGCATGAGGTGAGGTTGGGATGTAGTCAGGGTAAAGTTAGGATGAGGGTGAGGTTGGGGTGAGGTTGGGGTGAGGTTGGGGTGTGGTTGGCGTGAGGGTGAGGTTGGCATGAGGTGAGGGTGAGGTTGGGATGTAGTCAGGGTGAAGTTAGGATGAGGGTGAGGTTGGGGTGTGGTTGGGGTGAGGGTGAGGTTGGCATGAGGTGAGGGTGAGGTTGGCATGAGGTTAGTAGGATGAGGCTGGGTGGTCACCTGTCCAAAGACCCAGTGGCCTAAAGCATCAAGTGGGCAAAAAAACAACAGCATTCCTGAATGTATCATATATAAGAGTTCATACTTTCTTGAATTGAACATTGTTATAGGAACGTAGTAAATTAGACGATGGAGGGAATCCCAAAGGCGAACACTGCGAGCTAAGAAGCATAAATAAATGCGTTATGACCTGCAATGTAGTGGATGAACACAGTGTGGATAGCGTGAACTTATCTGGGGTCAGTTAGAATTACTGTGTTGTCAATATCTTCTGTCTTTGGGTCTCTCTTGTCATGACGCAAGTTGTGAAGTATGGTCACACACTCGCCACTGACTTTAGCCGTGGCCAGGAACTGAACGTTGTAATGGTGTTCATAGTACAGTGCGCCAACTACTGAGGCCACCAATCCTCAAACTACAGCATTTCACAATATCTGCCATTTGTCCATATACGTGCGTACAGCGTACGAGAGTGCCTGTGCTGTACACACGCACGTGTGTGTGTAAGGGGAGCGGGAGTGTAGCGGTTAGCGCGCTGCGTTTCAAACCCGGCTTCCTGAGTTCGATTCCCGCGCACGGCCAACACCAGTGACGATTATCTGAACCGGGTCCTGGGCCTCCCCTAGGTCAACTCAGCCTCAAATGAGTACCCAGTGCGGTGTGTGGACATCGCCGTTCGGGAGACAAAAGCGGCTACCCACCCCCTCGTGTGCCACAGTGCCAGCCTTCATAGGTGCTCACTAACAGCACTTGCCCCATCAGTCTGTTAAGGCTACACGGGGGTATATGTGTGCTTGTGTGCGCGCGTGTAGATGGAGGGAAAGCCAATCGAGCAGTTTGTGCTGCTGGCTCGCTCGGCGCAAGGCGTGGCGCTCTGCGCTCTCATCGAGCAAGCCCTGGACGCGCCGGGAGTGTACGTGTTCGGGGAGCTGCTCGAGGTCCCCAGCGTGCAGGAGGTGAGTGAGCGGCTTTGCCAGCCAGGGAGAGAGCTCTCGTGCTCCTACGACTACTACGTAGGTTTTCACGGGGCGTGCCGCGTAGCCGTCGGGTGTGTTTGCGGGTTGTTGCCGTATGTTGTTCGGCACGATGTCCAGCGTTTCGCTTCCATGTGCTTGGAGCTTCGGGGGGGGGGGGGGGGGGGGGGCTGTTTTATTTAAGTTCCTGAGGAAGCTCCCAGCACGTGGGGCAAAACCTGTGGGTAGCACCCTACCAAGGTGAGCGCAACCCACTGGTTGAGAACCGCTCACTCATCTACACGTCATCTCCGGGAGTCAACTCTTGCAATGGTGATTCCTGTACGTTGGAATAAATGCCATAATACAGTTTTTTTGGGGTTAAATTGCGTAAATATATGAATGTGTCGTTGAACCAGCCACCACCCGACACTGCCCATTAGCAAAGTTTGTCAAGTAAACAGAACGTGGCAATTCGTTACTAGTACAGCACACCGGTGTGTTGGGGAGCAAAGCCACAACATTTACAATCTGAGTACGACGTTTCGCCAGTAATTATAACTAGCTTCATCAGGCGACAGCCAGATATTTACGCGATCTAACCCAAAAAACCTGTATTATGGATGATATTGGTCGCGAAAGCCTACGCGTTAATCTGGAATAAATGGTTTAAACTTGGAAATATGATATTGGTCGCGATAGTCTACGTGTTAAACTGGAATAAATGGTTTCAACTTGGAAAACATGATTTGAAGCTTTCGTGACTGCAGGTGCAGGAATCCCCAGCTGAGGACGATTATTTGTGTGGCCATCGAAATGTCATGATCTTTTATTTTTTCTACCTACGTGACTTTACCGAAAGAACCAAAGAGTTTGGAAAACGTGGTTAATTGTGTTCATGGTTAATTAATTTTGCACATGTCATGTGGTGCACTGAATATTGTAAACACAGGGGAGATTTTGGTGCTCACAGTGATCGGTATATTGCAATGACGTTTGTATATTTTAAGTGACTATGAACAGCTAACTGATGTAATTGTTCAAATTTGTCCACAGTTGAGCAACGGACCTCATGCTCCACATTTCCAGTTGCTACAGTTGTTTGCATATGGAACATACTCGGACTATACTGGTGCGTGCGCTTACACAGGCACACTTGCTACATGCATTTAAGTGCACAATGATGCTAGTAAAACTTCTCCACTTTGGCTGTGTCTACATTATCAGCGTAATTGTTTTACTCATGAGGACTGCACGTAGATTTATAACAGAGTGCATTTAGACGATACTCATTTCCCTTGTTACTAATATCTGACATTATGAATCCAGCCAGGTGGCTCAGCAGAGCAAAGTGAGTGGCTCACAATCGCTTGGTTGTGATTTCAACCAATAGTTGTGCATTAGCTGAGCCCATCATCCCTCTGAGGTTAATAAAATGAGTACCACTTTGTTGGTAAGAAGACAGTGGTTGTCCTATGGGTATGTTCTTGTTGCTATAAAATAAGGAATGTCCACCATTGGCTCAGGGCTGTAAACAGGATATCAGCACTACATCAATGCCCATTGAACAAGAAATCACTGACTTTTTTGACATTGTTATCACAGGCAGCTATTGCATGTGAACTGCACACGTGTTTTAACTCATTTCTTTGAGGCCGATCACTAATTCCCCTAATTATTCATAATCCTACATGATGGATTCCATATAATCTGTGGGGGTGGCCTCCATTTGCAAGCCCAATAAGTTAACATTTTGACCACGTGATCTTTCCACACAAGCTGCCTGACTTCCATTACAACCCCATCTGTAATCCCCCCCCCCCCACTTCATGTAGCTTTGCTGTGCATCTAGGCCGAGGGAAGGTGCGGTGATGACTTAACTACCACCTAATTTAATTTGTTACACGGATGTGTGTGTCTTTGTAGCTAATTCATCGAATCTGCCGAATCTGTCAGAAGCACAGAAAAACAAGCTGAGACATTTAACCATCGTAAGCCTGGCTGCAAAGATGAAGGTGATGTGGTTTACGTATTTACGTTTGAGTGTGTTGATTTGTTTGACAGATGCATTGCTAACAGAGACTACTGTTGCATGTTAACACGGCTGGGTTATTTCAAACTGCGTGCAACTGGGTTGGATGCTTTATGTTTTAAGGATGACAGTCTGTCCCCTAGACCCCCCCTCGTGTAAATCCAGATTCGTTTAATTTTAGTTTAATAGTGCATCTGAATGGTTTATTCAAAGAACTAACTTAACCACTTATCTTATGAAGGCTCGCTCAACCAGAGCTCCATCTCTTCAAGGACTTTTAGAGTAATATTAGCCCGGTGGAGCATTGCGTGGTTGAATGGTACACATTTCATAATATTAAGTTATACAGGAAACCTCACGGAGTTTCAAATAGCTCTTTCAGGAGGGCCTGTATTGAGATGGAGCGCTATGCACGTGGGTTTAAACCAGAGTAATCAGAGCTAGCTATGCATACAAGGGGATAACTCAAAAATCCGCAAAGATGGGTTCACAAACCTACTTCTGGTACTGCCTTCACCCGGTCACCTCGCAGCCCAGTAGGTCTCTGGGATTTTCACAAATTGTATAATCCACCAGCTCTCTGAAGCGATGAATCACGTGCATGCACCACCACTAGACCTGCCTCGTGACTGGCTGATGCCGTGTGTTTGTCATCTGTTCTGGCCTGAATCGGGTGCTCGCTAATATCAACCGCCCCAGCATTGATGCATGTTTGTGCAATTTTTTTTCTCCCGTTACACAGTTATCTTTGCTCAGATTTCTGTTTCCTTCATTGCTGTGCTTGAACGTCTTTTGCTTGTCATTTTGGTGACCCACATCACTCTTGCCACCTGGCCTTTTCGGTTATCACCTGCTTAAACAAAAATGAGCAAACCAACAGTCCGTTTCAAGGCAGTGTGACGGCATCTTGGCACTGTGCAGTGCATCCCGTACGGCGTGCTGCTCAGCGAGCTGGGCCTGACGAACCTGCGGCACCTGGAGGACGTGATCATCGAGGCAATCTACGCCGACATCGTGCACGGCAAGCTGGACCAGCGCCGGCGCCAGCTCGAGGTGGACACCTGCATCGGACGCGACGTGCGCGCCAGCGACGCCAATGCCATCATCAACACCCTGCAGCAGTGGTGAGCACGTGGCGATCACGCGCATGCAAGGAGAAGGAATTGTGTTTATAAGGGCCGTTGCTTAGATGCTGGGGCAGATCAAAGCGCCCGTCACGCCACATCTGATCTCAGCCGTTCAAATGCTCTCGTCTTATCTAGCCATACATACAATGGGACCCCCCAGTTTCAGCTCTCCCTATGCAGCGCAAGATGTGTATGCAGTTCCAGCCTGAAATGGGCATTCATTTGCCAGCAGGGAGAGATGTTGCTATGTGGCGTTTTCCAAGCAAGTAATTTGTGGGTAATTTAGAAATTCATAATCAACGTTTTTGGGTTAGATCGCGTTATTTATAAATGTATCGTAACCCTCCACCACCCGACACGGCCAATCAGCAAAAAAAAAAGTGTCACGTTGACAAAAGACAAATAGTTCACTGCTTTAGCCCACCGGTGTGTTGAAGCGTGAAACCACAACATTTACAATTTTTGAGTACGACGTTTCGCTGGTAATTGCATCCAGCATCATCGGGCAATTTGCCAGAATGGTGAGGCTCTGCTAACCCAAAAACGTTGATTATGAATAATTTAGAAATGTTGGACTTTGACGCCGGGTATGACATGGTCTACTGATCCGAATAACGTCATGGGACCTTTAATGTTAGTACAGACCCACAGTGTTAACCAGAGCAGCCACTAGACTCGAACAACGCCAGATGTGCCGCCGCTTGGCCATGTAACCCCCCCGTTTGTCAATCCACTGCTGGATAAAGGGCTTCCCATGCCGTGTTGGTTATGGGGGTGTGTACAGGCAGTCTCTGGTCCGGTGTGCGACGATCCATATTTACGAGGTTTATATAACACCACCATGGATCGATTTACGACGCAGAAACTTGATTTACGAAATGACTCTGAGGACATTTGAACAGTCAGTCTGGTTTTCCGATGTGGCTTGCCTGGCATGGAGCTTTTGTTGTTCTCAAATGTATTTTTTAATGGATTTCTATCGATTAAACCCCGTTAAATATGGCTGGTAAAAGGAAAAAAAAAACATCGGCAAGTGATGTTTCTACTGTTGCAAAAATCATATTTACGGTGGGGTTTCCAGGAATGCATTGTCGTAAAAGCGGGGACCGGCTGTATATGTCTATCCATATTTTCATAGATAAAGCAGATTTAATGCTAATATTATGCCATTCTTTTTAAGTGTGTATAAAATACCTTTTGAGAAAATGCTAATATTTAAGTGCTTTGAGTACACATATATATGAAGAGTGCAATCAAAACAACCCAGTGCAATGAGGTTAACATGCGGGTGTTCTTTACATTATAAGCAGTATTGAAATTCGTGTTATAATTAATAATTGAAAATGCTCTGTTCTAGGTGTGATGGTTGTGAAGCTGTTCTGTTAAACATCGAGGCTCAGATTCTGCGCGCCAACTCCACCAAGGAAAACCAAATCGCAGTGCGCGCACAGATCGAGAACGAGGTGGGTAATAACTCGCCAGCATTCATAGCAGAGCATCAAGACAAGAGCTCCCGAGTATATAGACCGTTAGCGGGCACCCACTGAGGCCTGTACAGCATACACTGGTATGACCAGAAAATCGAAGCTAGCTGCCTTTGTCTGCTTAGTGCTGTTGTTTACACACCACCTCCGCCATTCGTTTAAGGCCAAGTAAACCTCAGGGAGGCTCAGGACAGGTGCAGATTCCACTTGCCACTGATGTTTTCCATCGCCGATGCAATGATTGCGTTAATTCCAAGATGCCGGCGCATGTCGGTGTGCTTACTTGTATCCCTCTTGTGGCCACCCCCACTCAATCCCTGCCCTCTCCCCACCCAGTCAAAGCAGACCCTGCTGCAAGCAGCTTCAATGTCCTTATTTAGCCTCTTCCTCCATATCCTCATGTTTCCTGACCCGTCCCGTTAATATATTCCTTCAACTCTTATTTCCCGTTTATTTATCTTGAATTCCGTTTGCTTTTTCCAGACATTATATGTGCGGAGGGTGAAAACGCTGCTTGTAATAACAGCGCTTGCCCCAACATTGTATGTGGGTCACACGGGACACCTGTGTTTGTACAAGCCATTGTGTACGTATGTGTAGGTGAGCTCCCTAAAGCAGACCATGAAGGCCGCAGCTGCCTCGGCCGCCCAGGAGATGGACCAGGTGGTGGAGAGCCGCGACGCCATGGCGACCCCCGATCCCACACGGCACCCTGGGAAAAAACCCAGTAAGGTCAAAGGGTACGTGTCCCCGTGGATGAGGGGGTCCCTCTGATTTCAGTTACATCCAATGTTCTGCTTTCAAATGTGAGATTTAATACAGGAAGTCTAGAAATGCTATGCCGACTGAGTCTTATGCCTTGTCAATAATTTCTTTGTTTTCAGGTTGAGGGGCAGTGGAAAGATTTGGTCAAAGTCCAACTGAATACAAGCATTGCACACGCACATAATATGCACAGTAGGTACATATAAAATATTAACAGACACATACATTTTATGCTGACATCTGCACGTTTCTGTATATACACACACACACACACGGTGCGCAAGCAGACAGCAAATGATCTGTACATACACAATTCACACAGAAATGATGCATACATGTATAAATTAAGCCTGTGTACACTGACAAAATCGAACGCTTTCATCTATACAGTGCAATGACGCTGCAGCAGCTGTCCTCATAAACGCAGTGACCGAACATGTTTATAAATGTACACGATTGTGCAAATGAACTCCTGGGATATAAAATCATGGCCCGAGTTTAAGACAAGGCCATGGATGTAATCCTTAACTCCTTTTGAGATACGAAGCAAATAGCTCCGAAAAATGTAGGTTCAAGACACAGGGGCATGTACGTGCATGTTGAACTTCTTTCGCACCGTACGTGGCCAATGTGGACGCTCTTGTGAGCTGCAGGGTTGATGGATTCAAACCCAGTCATTTCAAGTGTCACAGATTTGTATAAAAAATGCTACTGTGCATTAGGAGTATGGAAAATGTATCAAATTACAATCACTTTTACAGCATCCCTTTGCAAAAAATATCTCGTTGGCAATTAATTGACAGGATGTATTTAGTGCCTTGGTCGAAGGCTTGTCTAAATATAGTGGACTTTAGATGGATACTATGAAGCCGAGGCTATGTGCTTATGTCCTCGGTGTATAATCCAGCTGTCTTCATGGAAGTTATCTGCTTTGTAACCCAAAACAAACGGCAAAACTGCAAAATCTCACCAATTGATGCCCAAAGTATTTGCTTCCAGGCCACAACTGTCACATCATTGATACAACACAAGTACAGCCACTTGTGGTTTACAGCAACCCCAGATGACGGGTAATGTTTCATGGGCAGAGAATTGCTGATCTAAGTACAAATTCATATGCAAGTTTTCACTGGTTATCCACCTACAGCGCTCGCATATCTACACATTGCACCAGCAATGCGAAAAACTCATGCATTTAGAGGTTTTATTTCTACCTCTGCCTAACAGCCAGTCAAGAAACACACGTGCCCCTTCACACCCACGATTGCGAAGATGTTAATAAAGTCTATGCTTTGGAAACTGAACAATGTGTCTTTTTAAAGTTGTTACATTCGTTTCCCGGTTACTCTCTGTAGCAGGGCAGGTGGCTAAGTGGCTACCTCTCTTGTACATAAGGTTTACTTTTCATATCTAAGTTCCAATGGTCGTTTTGGTGGACCGTGCTCTCAACGTGAAGATTTGCACTACTCTGGGAGTTCCAAATAAAACACATTCGTGCGGAGGGAGCTGGTAGGAACGTTGGGTTGCTCGGTCAATGGCCAGGGTCAACGGCGGCGTGGTATATTCCGCAAATATGCCCGACTGTGAGGGCGGGCACAAGCCGGCGTGAGTAGGTTAAACGTTGAGTTTAATAAGGGCACCACGGGGTGACCAGCCCCTCCCCACCCAGCCCAACCCCTCCCCTCCAAGCCCCTCCCCACCCAGCCCCACCCCTCCCATTTTTGGATGCACGATGGACAGACGGATACAATAATCCCATGTGGGCTGGTGTAACCAGGTTCCTACCAGTATTATTCTCCTGACAAAGCTGAGGACGGGCGTGGTAACATTGTGGAAAAAATTATTTTGCCAAGCCAATGTGGAAAATAAAGCCTCAAGTGGCTGGAAAAAAAGCCTGAACCTACTGCGTGCAATTCAATACATGGAATTGTCACTGACCAAGCACATGACATACCTTGTGTAAATCAAGACCAGTATTTGGTTGGATGTGCTAAAACTTTGGAAATGTACAGGCGTTTGGTCAAAGCTTGTTAAAAGAGCTGACCGTGTGGCAGAACAAAGGACATTGTGGGAATGGCAAACCATTGAGATTGGAGAGGCCAACTCGTCTATGAGCAAAAGCTTGAGACACTGGGCACCGCTGTACAAAGCTTTGGGCTCGGGTGCAGGGGGAAAAAATTAACCCGTAAAAGCTAAGTTTTTCAATCCTTTAAATGCGTGGCGGCTAGAGTCCTCTCGTCCTCTGGCTTGAGATGGCTGCCACCTATGGGTCAGATGATTGCATTGCACCATTAAGCAATTGGTAATTAAATATATTTTTGTCCTAAAAAGTGTAAAATTTTGGAAAAAAATTGTCACGCACGAGTCTGTGTGCAAAATGTCAGCTCGATTGGATCTCGGGAAGTGGGTTAAAACACGACCGAAAGATTTGCACGGTCGTAAGCGCGCAAGCAAGCAAGTGAACTTAATATAAAGGATTAAAAAATCACTTCCCGTTCTTCCACTCGTTCATGTTGGGGGTTATGGTCAACATGGCTTGCACGTGATGTCCTACCGCTTCGTTTTGAAACACTTTATTGTTGCTTTGTATTATTTGCAAAGCTGAGCGTTCTTTAGCAGTATAGGATACTAATATACTACAATTCCATTGTTAGATTTGACTGGTTTGCAGTGTGGATCAGGTCAGTGCAGAGGTGGCACCAGAGATTTCTTGGTTCAAATCCAAGCAACTTCCTAGGACCAAATGGGTTTTCGAATGCAGAGTTGATCTCAGGTGACCAATTACTGCACTCAAAAACCCAAAGATGTAATATAATTTGGCTAAATACCAGCTTCAAGATATCAAATGTATTGCTCGACTCTCATCTCACCTTAAATAAATGTATATAGCGCCTTAACCAAGGCACTTTTAAAATAATTAACGGTACATGAATGTTAATCTCAGCGGTAATGGGAAAGCGTTTCTCTAGGTCAGTATTTAACCTTCATTGCAGCCTTGTACCCCCCACCCCCTTTGGTTCTCAATCGTAAAAAAAGTATGTTAGCAAATACAGGGTTTGATGAAACCTCGTTGTACATACATGCCCGTCCTGAATTTGTGTTTCAACGATTTACCTTCTAAAAAAATGTGCCATGCCCAGGTTAAGAACCACTGCCCCAAGTGGACCAGATGTAACATTTAGGTCTCTCAAGAGGTAGCTCAGTGATACCCATCCGTGGTATATCTCCATCTCCATATATATATATAAAAGGCAAAGTTGTGAATGTGTCTGTTTAAAATGTTTAGCGTACTTCCCAACATGCAACAAACTGGACATTTTCCATGTGGGTACTTTCCAGACTGTACACCATGCAAAAATTATAAAAATACACTTTTGTATTTGTTTTTTTGGGGGAGCTCAATAATGCAGATTTTTTTTGCACGGCAAGTGAGCTGTGACGTCACATCTGTCACGTGACCCACGCATGTGGAAGCGTAACGCATAGTGTCGTGGTTAGCGCGCCGCGCTACGAACCCGGCGACCCGAGTTCGATTCCCGATTATTTGAACCGGTCCTGGGCCTCCCCTAGGTCGACTCCGCCTCAAACAAGTAATTGTTGTGGTGTGAACATGGCCACTGAGGAGACAAAGGCGGCCAGGCGTGGTGAATCCAAGTCCCGGGCGAAGCCGAGCAGTACAGCTAGTCCTATACAAAAGGGATGCACTAAGAGATAAATGGGTTCCATCTTATGGAATGACATCGTGAGCACAACCAGTAAAAAAAATGGGAGAAAAATTCGTCGAGAAAAAAATCACACAAAATGTCCCGATAAGCGAAATAAACGTTGCCAAAAAAACATGGCCACGAAAACAAAAACAGGACGCCACTTTAATGAAAGGTGCACGTTCACCAACAAGCTCGTAAAAATGATGTTCTTGCAAATGAACGATTTCCCCAAAACACATTTTATTTCGTGACTTAACAGTACTGTGAAGAATATAACACTTGCAACTTTTTGAACACATTCTCCATCTATCGGTTCTAGAAAATTACCATCAGATTTATATTGTGGAAAAGTGAAAACTGACCACGCAACAATGCGGGGAAGGGAGGGGGCATCGTGACAACAGCAGCCAACCACCATGATTGGTGGAAGTCCAAATTGTCCCTCTTGGCGAGAAAGAGCGTTACATTCTAGATGATGTTGACGTGCAAAGCTATAGACTGCCTGGCGGGGGGGGGGGGGCAAGTCACCATTCCCGTTCTTCCGCTGGCTGTGAAGAGATGTTGGGGGCGATGGGGTGGCCGAGATGGCGGCTTGCACGTGGGTATCCAACCACCGTTTTAAAAATGTATCACGCTCTATGCCATTCTTGAGCTGCGTGTGAGGTAATTATACACGCGATACTGTTATAAAAATGTATTACTTTTGCATTGTGGCTCCGTCAGAATGCTAAGAGGACACCACCGAATCTAGACAACTGCGATGATGAAGATGGGTCAAGTGTAGGCACTGATGATCTCACCAATGACTTCACAAAAAAAAGATCAAATTTTATTTTCCAGCTCAGACAATTTAACAGACTGTTGGAGCAAGCGCTGTTAGCGAGCACCTATGAAGGCCGGCACGGCACACGAGGAGATGGGTGGCCAGCACCATGCCCAGCCGCCTTTGTCTCCCCAGTGGTGATGATTATGCACCGCACCAGGTACTCATTTGAGGCCGAGTCTTCCTAGGGGAGGCCCAGGACAGATTCAGATAATCGTCACTGGTTTTGGCCGTGATCAAAAATCGAACTTGAGTTCCTGGGTTCGTAGCGTAGCGCACTAACCGCTACACTACACACACACGTAGAAGTTAACAGAATTAAAAAACTGATGCAATAAAAAATAATCCTAAAATGTATCACACTGTTTTACAATGCATACACTGTTGTTAAGCAGGTACACAAAGGAAGCGTTTACCAGCCATGTGGTTTGGCCTCGTAGCTGGAGGAGGCATAAGACTGGGTGCCGTGCGCTGCTCCGCTCCCCGTAGAACCTCCAGTTCCACCCCACCCCCCATAGCCACCTCCTCCCTGCCCCCCACTCGCCCCATATCCCCCAGACTTATTTGCCTGCGACTGCTCCAAAGCCTGCGCTTGGCCATGGCCTTGCCCCTGACCCTGACCCTGCCCCTGCCCCTGAAACATCCCCATCATATTCCAACCACTCTGCATCATGGCAGCCATCACCGCGGGGCTGAGATTGAACGAGCCCAGCGGATTCATGCTCCCGTCTCCTGCTGCGCCGCCAAGGCTGGAGGAATTTGACGCGCTCCCCGCGGCGTTCATCCCGCCCCCCGCCGCCGCCTCCACCGCGATTAAAGGACGAAGATCCGTGGCTGGACTGGGCGGCATTCGACGTCGAATTTGACCCCGTGAACGGACCAAAGGGGTTATTCCCATATCCGTAGCCGTAGCCATAACCGTAGTTGTTGCTGGGTGTGTTATTGCCACTCGAGCTGCCGCTGGAAGAGCCGAAGTTTGCGTAGCGCGCCACTTGCTCAAGGGCGGCAGTGTTGACCGTGAACGACTGCGACTGGTGCTGCGGATTGAGGCCCAGCGCCGAGAAGTTTGGATTGGCGTTCCCCATGGCGTTGTTGCTGCCCTTGGGATCGGCGCTGGAGATGTGAATGCTGGACCCCTTGATGATGAGGTCTTCTCCACACAGGCTGTTTGCCACCTGTCAATGCATCCACACGCACGCACACACATAACACATTTAAAAAATATGTATATTGTTTTTTAATATCATTCATGTGTGCAACATTATGCCTTTATATTGGAACTGCACAACTTTTTGTCATGCATATTTTAACATTCTTAATACTTGAGAAACTAGAATGTTTTGCTGTGCATGTACATTTTTGCATGTTTCCACATCACTGGGACTGCATAGTTAAGTGTATATGATTGAGGGGCGATAAGCAAATAGCAACAATCACATGGAACATCCAACAAAAGTTTAGCAATGTATCAACTTTATAAGGCAAATCCAAAAAGCTACTCCAATTAGTTTTTTTTTACGAAGCACCTCAACATCTAATGTAGTTTGACATTAGTGTATTATTATTAATATGATGAAACTTGTTTACTCAAAAAAGCTTCAGGAGGGTCTTGCCAAGATGTTGCAGGAAGGGGGGCGATTTTGCTGCTGTGTAACCCCCATTGAGTCATTTGCAGGTATTATTTCAGCATTGGGGTGTTTGGCCAAAAACCAGGTACACCATAGTGCACTTTTTTGTTATTCAGCCGTGTAAAGAAACCA